ACAGTCTTAAACAAGAAAACTTAACATTGACCAATGAACCATGAAAATGAGGTCAAAGACAGATGAACCATGCCAGACCGACATGTACACCTTACAATCAATTTAAGCATTAAATATAGTTGACCTATTGCTTATAGTATCCAAGAAACAAACTTAACCATGAAAACTTAACATTGACCAATGAACCATAAAAATTAGGTCAAGGTCAGATGATACCTGCCAGACAGACATATACGCCTTACAATCCTTCCATACATCAATTATAGTTGATCTATTGCTTTTAGTTGAAGAAAAACAGACCAAAACACAAAAACTTAACACTGAGAAATGAACCGTGAAATGAGGTCAAGGTCAAATAAAACCTGTGAGACTGACATGTACATCATAAAATATTTCCATACACCATTTATAGTCGACCTAATGCATATAGTATTAGAAAAAAAGACCAAAACTCAAAAACTTAACTTTGACCACTGAACAATGAAAATGAGGTCAAGGTCAGATGACCACTACCAGTTGGACATGTACACCTTACAATCATTCCATATACCAAATATAGTAGACATACTGCTTATAGTATCTGATATATGGACTTGACCACGAAAACGTAACCTTGTTCACTGATCCATGAAAAGAGGTCGAGGTCAAATGAAAATTGTCTGACGGGCATGAGGACCTTGCAAGGTACGCACATACTAAATATAGTTATCATTTTACTCATTATAAGACAGAAATTAACATTACAAAAAATGCTGACTTTTTTTCAAGTAGTCACTGAACCATGAAAATGAGGTCAAGGACAATAGACATATGACAGACGGAAACTTCGTAACATAAGGCATCTATATACAAAGTATGAAGCATCCAGGTCTTCTAGCTTCTAAAATATAAAGCTTTTAAGAAGTTAGATTATCTTGAATATTATCCTGAAAACTACAATAGATACAGAGAAACTTTAAATTACAAAAATGATCAGCAAGACAAGATCTACAAATAAGTCTGATGGTAAAAATCGTCAGTCGACACCTTATTAGAGTTATTGCCCTTTGATGACGATCACGTAGGTAGCAAAGATTGCTTTCATTTTACAATGTTTAACTGAAAATTCAACTATGCATTGTTTAAAGCAAAGAATTTATTATTTTGGCAATATTTTTAATTGTTTACTGTCTCTAATTGTAGGTAGAACAGATAGATTCGTGAGCCATGTACTACTTTCTAAAAGTTTAATGTTGACTTAAAAAGTGAGTCCATTTATCAGTGAAATACAGAATTTTAAAAAAAATCAAACTTTTTATTTAGACGCTATTTCTTGATCTTGAAGATTAGCCTCTGTCCAAGTTTCCTAACAATCCATGCAGGTTTCACAAATTTATCATGGCAAAAAAGTTTAATCCCAGACTTTCTATAAATGTTAATTGTAAAATACCAAGTCCATATATCTATCAGAAAAGTACTAAAAATGAAAAAAAAAATCAAAAGTTTGCTTCAGACATTATCTCTTAATCATAAAAAAGCTTCTGCTAAAGTTTCAAAAAGTTCTATGAAGGCTTAACAAAGTAATTATCAAAGAGTAACAAACTTTAAACCCAGACTGTATCATGTGTATCTACTTGTCAACTGTAAAAAAAATAAACTTTTGCTCTAAATATTATATTTTGGTAATAACTAAGCTTCTCTCCAAATTTCAAAAATTCCATAAGGTTTGACAAAGTTATTGATTACTGAAAAACTTTAACCTCAGACTAAATCTGAATGTTAATTGTAAAAAAAAGTCAATTTACCAGTAAAAACGGGAAAATGAAAATGAATATCTTCAAAATTTTGTCTCTGGATACTGTCTTTTGGTCATTAACAAGCTTCTGCCAACACTTCATAAAATTGCATGAAGTTTAAACAAAGTTATTTATGACTGAAAAACTTTAACCTCAGACTAAATTTGATTGATAACAGAGAGATATGTCTCACCTGTCGGCATAAAATTCTGAAAAAGACAATCTGATGGACAGCAACATTGCTAATTATTTCAATGTCGCTGGACCAACTAATGGGTAGGGCCTCGAAATGGTTGACAAATTAAGATATACAAACAGCAATGTAACTTTATAGAAAATATTGTCTATTGTAAGTAGTTCCTATCAAACTAACTTAATCATAAAACTTAACATTAAAAATTTTGATTGAAAGTCACTGGACCATGACCTAGGGGCAGGACCTCAAAATAGTTGTCAAACTGTACTGATAGCAATACAACTTTACACAAAATATCATTGATCTATCACAAGTACTTCCTATCGAACTAACTTAAGCAGAAAACTTAAATCAAAGTCACTGGACCATGGCCTCAAAATTTTCGTCAAACTGATAATTACCGATAGTAATGCAACTTCATACAAAATATCATCGTTATCTATCACAAGTACCTCCTATCAAACTAACTTAAGCAGAAAACTTAACATTGAAAATGGCTTATTAAATCAAAGTCACTGGACCATGGCCTCAAAATTGTCGTCAAACTGATATGTACTGATAGTAATGCAACTTCATACAAAATATCACTGATCTATCACAAGTACCTCCTATCAAACTAACTTAAGCAGAAAACTTCACATTGAAAATGGCTAATTAAATCAACATCACTGGACAATGGCCTACAGGCAGGGCCTCAAAATTGTTGTCAAACTGATATGTACTGATAGTAATGCATCTTCATACAAAAATATCAATGATTTATCACAAGTAGTTCCTATCAAACTAACTTAAGCAGAAAACTTAACAATTGTTGACGCCTTCATCGCCGTCGCCGGAAAAGCAATCCCTATTTACTATATTTTTGCTCATCTTTATGCTTGAAATTAATGTATATGATCAACTAAAAATACTGGGAGCACTGCTCAAATAGACCCCCCTCCCCCCCAAAAAAAATACATGTACACACAGTGATACCCATTGACACAAAAAATAAATAATTTGGCACTATTAAGGCTACCTCAAGTTTAACGAAGTTTGTGGCCTTGATTTTTGAACGAATAAAATTCTATAACCGTCCAAAGAGTGAAATATGGAGAGTTTTCAACAATTTTTCAATGAATAATGTTCTACAAATCTGCAATGTAATATCAGAAATTTATAAAATAAAAAATACAAAATGGAACTTATTTCAATAGATATAAACAAGTCACCAAAGTTTCAAGAATACTGCTCAAAGTGTTTTAGAGTTATTGTTGAAAAACTGGAAAATCCCTCCTTTTTGTCGAGCCTTCGACTTTTGTCGAAAAAGCGAGACATAGTGATCCTACATTCCGTCGGCGTCGGCGTCCACAAATATTCACTCTGTGGTTAAAGTTTTTGAAATTTTAATAACTTTCTTAAACTATCCTGGATTTCTACCAAACTTGGACAGAAGCATGTTTATGATCATAAGATTATATTCAAAAGTAAATTTTGTAAAAAAAAAATTCCATTTTTTCCGTATTTTACTGATAAATGGACTTAGTTTTTCTGCCAGGAAACATTGCATTCACTCTGTGGTTAAAGTTTTTGAAATTTTAAAAACTTTCTTAAACTAACCTGGATTTCTACCAAACTTGGACAGAAGCTTGTTTATGATCATAAGATTATATTCAAAAGCAAATTTTGTAAAAAACAAATTCCATTTTTCAAGTATTTTACTTATAAATGGACTTAGTTTTTCTGCCAGGAAACATTACATTCACTCTGTGGTTAAAGTTTTTGAAATTTTGATAACTTTCTTAAACTATCCTGGATTTCTACCAAACTTGGAAAGAAGCTTGTTTATGATCAAAAGCTAGTATCTAGAAGGAAATTTTGATAAAATTTTGTTCCATTTTTTCGGTATTTTACTTATAAATGGACTTAGTTTTTCTTCCAGTCAACATTACATACAGTCTGCAGTTTAAGTTTTTAAAACATTTATTAGATTCATAAATTATCCTGGAATTTTACCAAACTTGGACAGAAGCTACTTACAATCAAAAGATAGAATAGAGAGGAGTATTTTTATTTATTTTTTTCCTCATTTTTGTTGAGCCTGCGATTAACAGCAAAAGTAGGCGAGACACTGGGTTCCGCTGAACACTTACGAATTTTTTATGAATAAAGTCCCAATACTCTAAAACGTAAAATCAAAAATGTTTAAAAATTGAAAGCGTACTTATGTCAATATATATAAACAATTCACCAAAGTTTCATGAAAATTGCTCAAAGCATTTTTGAGTTATAAGTCAGAAAACTGGAAATTCCATCACTTTTTTATGAATAAAATCCCATAACTCAGAAACGTAAAATCTAAAATTTATAAAAATCAAAAAGGAACTTATGTCAAAAGATATTAACAATTCAACAAAGATTCATGAAAATTGGTGAAAACATTTTTGAGTTATTCTTCGAAGTGTTGACGACGGACAGACAACGGTATACCATAACACGTCCCACATACATGGGCATATAAATAAAAAACCAAACCGTATAGTCAGCAATAAAAGAAATGAAATGCAATAATCTTTATCTGATAAGTGTGTCTCATGCTTCTTCACTAGGAACAGTCAAAGAAGCTAACAAGTTATCCCATATTTACCAAAAGGCCTAAAGCACATTGACTGTTATTGGCCGTCTTGGAACATTAATTGACTGATATTTTGATATTACATGTATTATAAAACCCAAGCATCCAACAGTATACACATTTTTAATTCTATATGATTACAACCCAATATTACCCCCTCCCTTCCGAAAATGTCTGTACCAAGTCAGGAATATTGGAATTGTTTTTCACTTGTTCTGTTGATTGATAACTTTTGATTTTGTCAGTTTTTATGAACTTCTCCTCTTAGAATTTGCCTTGAGTTTGGTATTTTTGTTATACTTGTTTTCCCCTTTGATGCAATTGTTCAACAACCCTTAATCAAGCATAAGTGATTGCATAAAACAGACTTCCATCCATGATGAGTTTATTTTCCATCCTAAAAATGATAAATACAATAATTTCTGTCAATTTATTTTTTATTTCTGACAATTTTCAATAAAACATTTCTTTTACAATAAAAGTACTGTTAGATAGCAGTTTTAAAAAAAATGTATAGTGTGTGCTTAAAACATTATTCCATGATTTGATAGATGGTAATAATTACATGATAAACAGATAGCATTGACATTTCTATAAACAAATTTACTGAGGTACTCATTACATGATACATCAGAATATCTAAATAAAGCCGAGGTGTCTAATGCATGTCTCCTTATATGACTTTGTATCTTCCTTTGTTGATAGGCTGGTAAGAGTTTTGCTGTAAAAAAAGAAAGAAAAGAAAACAATATTAATTTACATTTCTAATAAGGATGTTCGCTTGTCATGTTTTGGAATTTTTGTCAGATTTTCGGAATCCTCTGGTTTTATCCATTTGTATGCCTTAAAAAAATTTGTCCATTGACCCCTTTTTCTTTTAATAAATCTTTTACATATATAATGATAAGCCATCTGTAAAAGTCTTATAAAATTTTAATTATTTTTTAATAGTTTTTGAGAACTTAAACTTGTCAATGATATAGCTATGAAAAGTCAAGAGAGAACATTTTCCCGCCAAAATTTCAATGGCTAATATCTCCAAAACAAGCACATTGACCTATATATTTTTTTTGCTCTTTTGATTCCTTTATGAATCCCCTATCAATATAAACTAGTGTTTTAAAAAGCTTATTATTTTGAAACTGAGAAGCGAACTCCCTTAAGTCTCAAATTGAAACCGAGATAACTGTTGGTTTATTTTATTTTCAAAACATCTTGATGAACCTATGAGTGGATTTAAACAGTTGATTTAATGGTGGATAAAAAAAATCACAAATTAATCTATATTACTGTCTCAAGATTCACTCTTTCTTAAAAGATGATGTATCCAAATTACCATATTTCTGTTTGAAATTTGAAACAAATAATAATAATTTTATTCATTTTTTATGTTTTATATTTATTTTTTTTTAATAAATCATTATTATCATTTTTATAATAAAAAATTATATAAATCATTAATCAACATTCAAATATGGTATGACTCATGGTCACTGCTTTGTTATTGAGATATGTTTTGGCCAATGATGTCTGTTAAGATAATTATTCTACAAAAGATCTTCATTTAAAAGCCTGAAATATAATTCCTAGTGATCATGCACCAAAAAAAAAATGTAGGTTTATTTTTTTAACTTAAAATAAAACATTTTTGATGACCCCTTTACACTTTTATCAGTTTTACTGATGTGCACTGCACCTGCAATCTAGAAGAACTGACAATATACATCCCGTCCATATCTTCTGGGTTTACAAGTGAGGCATTACACACACATAGTTTTATCAGGGGTTTATTTTTTATTTTAGAAATTGTCAAAATATTCCCCTTTAATATCTTCCAGGTCCAAAAAGTGAGACAATACACATATAGATTAATTTAGGATGAGTCATTTTTAAGGGATTTTGAGAAGTTTTAATGGAAAACCTGACCATTTGGGAATCAAAATAAGTGTGATAGGCTGAATTTTCAGAATTCTGCATGATTCCAAAATGAGTACTAATATTGAAAACTTGTTCTTTTTCCAGACCACTAGGAACTCTAGGAAAATGCAAACCAAGGGTCCATAAAACATATAAATACATACCAGTCTAATGAGCTCCTCCTTGATGAGTCTAGTGATTTCTTTCTTTGCTTTCTGTATAGCCATTTCACTGGTAGCTTCTATAGCTAGGTATAATTTCCTCTCTCCCTCGGGAGGTTCCTTCTTAGGAGGTACATAAGTACCTCTGACTGTAATACCTGCCTCAGAGTATTCACAGATCTGTGCAAGGGCTTCCTGTTAAAAAAGATTTCAATGATTAAATGAATTTTTGTCTTTTTCAGTACTAAAATAAAATACAACATTGAAATAGGTACATTGTATAATCTAAACCATGTGTAAACTTAAATCCTGTCAAAATTGAACTTGTATAACAAGAAAAACCATGAAAATTCGGTCCTACTAAAAAGCGCCCCGGAGTGCCCGGGAAAACAAAAAGCGCCCGGGGAAGAAAAAAAAGCTCCCAGGAGAATAAAATAATAATATTTTATAACAATAAATGTTTTCCTGAATAAAAAAAAAAAAATCATTGCTTGTTTTGTCCTTAATATAAATGGGGATATGTACGATGCTCCATCTAAAGTGTGTAGATAGTGTTGTTGCACTTTTACATTTTAGATTTCAAAATTGTATATAAGTAAGTAAGTAAATATAAACAAGAGTATATAGAAGAATCATGAACGATATTGTCCTCGATCATGTCGATCAAAACGTATATTTCGTTATTTAAAAAAATCACTGCCCGGGGTGTAATATTCGCAACTGCATGGTGAACACTTTTCAAAGTTTTGTATGTTATCAAACACACTTCAATTGACGGTGGAAGATCGTGGAAGGGTTTGAACATACCTGCCACAAAGAAAAGAAAAGTTAAACCAACTGCTAAAGCAAATATGATATTGTGGCCTTGTGGAATATCTATATTTATAATAACATTTTAGCTTTAAAATATATAATATAAGAAAAAGCGATATCTGGTTCATATGAAGAGTTTGAATTCACTGTCTCGTTTGTCATATAATAAAAGACAGCAAAATAACTGGACAATAGTGAAGTCACATGCTTTCTAAATTAGTCTATCTCGGGGAGTTGGCTTTCGAATTATACTGCGTATATGTAAATAAGGGGAATTTCTTTACACTATATATCTAAAATAGGTTGACCTAAAGGTAATGGAATTGGAAGCGAAGTATGAGCACAGTGTTCCCGCGTTTCAACGTTATTTTAGCAGTAATACATCATCTCTGAAGAGCTATGTCCAGGAACCGACACAAAAAGACATTGCACCAATTAACTGGAAGAACAATTCATGCGAATCCATGAATAATATTTTAAAACTATCGACAAATTGGAAAGCCGTTAAGCTCCCGGACCTTATAGACAAACTACACAAAATTGTTCAATTACGATATCGATATACGCCGAGCATTACATGGCCAGGGGAACCATGCGTTGGCTCCTTGGGCTAAAAAACTTCAAGTAACAGAAGTCGTATGGTCGTCGAAATGTGCAAAAGAAAAGGACGCCATTTTCAGAAAGTTTATGAATCTAAGCAAACCGAGAGACAATTTTGTGGAATCATCTGACGGAAAATTAAAGATTCCTTAAAACTCCAACCACCGCAAGGAAGCCAAACCAAAAGAAGCGTATTCGTAGCAACAAGACCACTACCTTGAAATTTTCAACATAACTTTTAATTTACATTGTATTATATTAGTTATGAACAGTAATGTAGTTGACAGTTTGTATGAATAGGTGGTAAGACGCATAGCGCTTTACTTTTAGTGCTTTTTTAACCATAGTAAATGTTTTATATGCAGATGCTGATATAGATTTATTATATCTTTTTATAAAACTGAAATTGTTTTAATGGCTATGCTAATCAGTGTTTTAATATTTACTTTTTATTTTTAGTGCTTTTTTAACAATAGTAAATGTTTTATATGCAGATGCTGATATAGATTTATTAAATCTTTTTATAAAACTAAAACTGTTTTAATGGCTATGCTTATCAGTGTTTTAATGCTTAGTTTTAAATTTAAACCAAACTCCTGCTTTTTATCCCTCTTGTTTTAACTACGGTACATGTAAAGTACTGCTTTATTTGCTGATTTATTATAATTTTTTTTATATAAAACCAAAACTGTTTAAATCACGGCATGCGATTCGTAATGCTTATCGGTGTTTCAATGTTATTTGTTTTATACCAAACACCTGCTTTTAACATGCATTATATAATTGTTTTATAAAATTAATATTTATCTTTGAAATTTAAGTTGTTTTTTGCATTTTTCATTTTGATATCGTTTTTGAAAAACATGTCTTTTGATATCTAACATTTTATAAATCTTCAGCATTATCTGTGATCCATTATTATCTGTCTTTCGAAATAGTATTTATATTTTGTTAAAATTGAAACATTCATACTTGCTTTTGTGCTTTATTACAAATGTCTATTATCTGAATTTGCAAAATACTTGTCTAAAATTAAAAAAAAAATCAAATGTACATAACTTATTTCATCGACACAAAGTTGTCTCATGCCAATACAATATCTATATATTTTCCACGGGCGCCTTTTCTCCCCCGGGCGCTTTTTCTTTTCCCCGGGCGCTTTTTAGTAGGACCCTGAAAATTTATCAGTTGTTTGACCTTATTAATTAAACACCTGTCTAATTATATTTTTTTCAGTTCAACAGGGTTTTTCTTTATTAAGACAGGTTTCAGAGTACATAAATATTCATATTGATGTGATATCAATGTTCCCTGCTTTGTGCTAAACCGACAAACTGATTTTGATTTGAGTAGGTAGAAGTTTGTAGACAGACATGTCATCCAACATGAAACCTCATTCTAAGTGTAAGTTAACCTTTCTTTGGCCTTGCCACTAAATGCTATGTGGGTAGCAGAGAAGCATCAAACAATTATTTTGTAAAGGTTCCTGTTTTGATCTGGAATGAAATTGAACTCGCAACTTCCAACTATGAGGGCATGTCAACAGCTATTTGCTGCAACTAGATACATTTTCTAAAGAGTTCTGTTTTTATTAAAAGGATACTTGCATATTTAAGAGTAACTATAAACAAATGGACCATAGATATTTTTTCCTTCTGTTTTTTTGCATTGCAGTAGTGTCAACTCATTTGTTTTCTTATTTTCAGCCTCCCTCCAAAATATTACAGCCTATTTGTGAAGACATTATTTGATAAGATTTATATATATATATACTGCATCTGCAATGTAAATACATAACGGTCAATGTTATTTTAAACACTTTTTATGTTTTACCTTTGATGTGACTTTCCATCTAGCAGTTTGTGGGAAGTCATTAATTTCCAATTCTTCTTCATAACGTTTAAACATGTCTGCTGCATTCTCTTGATCTTCCTCCTCTGATACAGGTTTATACCCTAGCTTGGCATTCAGCTTCTCAGCTACCTGCTCAGCTATAGTTTTAGACTGAAATGGACAAATTCATATAATCAACGTTATTGTAAATTGAGAATTGATTGTAATTTTTTATTATTACAAGGAAATAGGTATTGTGAAAACAAAACTTGTAAAAATATATTTTAAAATTGTAACAGCTAATCTGACATTATTGTCCCTTTGTTAAAAATTTAAATAATAAATGCTAGCAAAACTTTCAGTAAATAATTATCATGCATGTATATCATTTGATAAATTTAACCTGATTTGTTGCTAAGAATAGCTACATAATTAAGACACATCCCCAAAAAATATTTTTTGAATACAACTGGCTTACAGCAACAAGAGGAGCAGTTCCCTCCCCAGTCATTAGAGATCTTGCAGCAATCTGTGTAATATCTTGTGCATCTGGTCCTTTCTTCTTACTGATCTGAGCTGCCAGACGTTTGGCTAGTTCTAGTTTCTGTTGATTCGTCTGTTGTGCAATGGCTGCTGGGTTCTGTGTAGGATTTGTCAGGACAGGGTGGGACACATTAGTGACACGTTTGATACTGGCGAACATATTTTCTATTTGTTCTTCAATCTGCAATAGTTAATAACAAAATATATTAGATTAAATAACTAAAGTTAGGAAAAAGCCTGTCTTGTTATGTCACCTCTTCTTGTCCCATTGAAGTTATACCTATAAACCGTAATTCATGAGTCACCCCTCTGAAAAGGTCAGTTTTCTCTGGTCCCTAGAGACACCTTTCTATACAGTTTTGGCTCTATTGTGTTCTCTGAATTCTAAAAGTTAACAGTGTGGTCTACCTAAAGAATCAGTCCAAAGTACATGAACAGAATTTTGCCCTGCTTGAATTGGTGGGGTCATGCTGGCGTCCAGTCAATTTGTCACAGGTTTGATCCCAACCAGGTCAAACAGGATTTGAAATTAGGTATTTGCTGTTTCTTCACTAAGCACTTGACATTTAGCTGTAAAAGCAAAGGCAATCAAACAAAATTTGTCCAATAAGGATGACTTGTCTTCCTGCGGCTGCATTACCTTGTGTACTAGCACATTATAAATCTAAATCAGCTTGTTGGTCTAGAACAAAGCAGGGTTCATCATCATATAATATTTCATCACTCTCGACAGTTAAATTACAAATATTTAAAAGACTCATAAAGCTTCTTATTCTAAATTTGGAACAAAAAAGTTTTGAGAAGAGAAATAGCGAATCACACTTGATGCAGTAGTAGAATATTTATTTTTTTACTTACATCAACTCCAGCATCTTCATCATCAGAATCCTGTAAACCGAGGGCCTTCTTCTGTAGTTTCTTACGTTCGTCGGCTAGATGTGCCTCAGTCTCATCAAACTTAAACCCTCGCCCATGGAAACCACTGTTCCTTATATTCTTGCCATCCTATAATTAAATTTTCTAAATTAATGAAACTAGCAATGCTGCTCCTTAATTACTGAAAACCGTATTAAAGTTTTACCAAAGAAACACCATTAATGTGACTGCTTTTCCACCTCTATGAGTCATATTTGACTTTTTATCAGGATGGAAGTTACAAAATTTGGTAAGTATTCTTTGATTGTTTATCTACATAAAATTTTAACCTCTGCAAGCTGTCATTTTTTTTTTCTGATCAGCATCAAAGTATCACTTTTTTAACAACCTTTAAAACTTTTTGCAATAAAATATAACATTGTGAATGCACTGAGTACTATGACGATGCAACATACAAGTAGGTTAATATAAACCTATTAGTTTATTATTACGAAATTAGAAAAATAATGTGCAAAAGTCAAACTTGGAACGTCATTTATAAATACAAGAAAAAAGTTAGATAATTGTTAAAATAAATTGCTGCATAGTTCGCTTATAGCACTGTAAAGAATAAATTCTGGTAAAAATAGAAATAGAAATATTTCAAAATTTCACATAATTGCAACATCTGAATATTTAAGCATCTGTCTTACAATTAAACGTAATCATAAAAATCATGCATAGAAAAAATATAAATGTTCAATAGATTAAATTACTAACCATCTTTGCTCTAACTTTGTACAATTCCCAAATAGTATTCAGTTCTGCTGGTATTTCTGCTCCCGATAGTTCTAAAGCCTTTATTATGTCCCCTGAATATCTCTCCTGTTCTGGAGTTACAAAAGTAAATGCAAAACCTTTATTTCCAGCTCGACCTGTGCGCCTGAAATTAAATAATAGATATAAGTTTTGATATATTTCAAATAACAATTGTAAAGCCTTAAAGTTTTCCAATGAATCAAATACTATACAGTAGTTATCAGACAATGATAAGATATGGAATTTATTTCCAGTTAACCCTTTTTAAGTTTTGCTTTTTTATTAAAACTTTTTATCTATCTGATAGCTCTGAACTATCATTTTTTGGTAACAATTTACAAAATTTCTAACTACTGTGGGAAAATCTGTCCTTAAACTTTTAGGCAGGGACAAAAGGTACTATGTTATTCATTATTTCATTTTTAAATTGAATTTCAGCAAAACGTCTATGATATGATCAAGTTATGGCTACCTCTTTTTGTTGAAGTAAAAATGGTTCATGAAGCAAGTGCCAAAACCCAAATCAAATTGATTACTAGTCATGCATCAAGATTTCAACATTTCATAACCTTAGACTTAACATTTTAATTATGCACAGAACTTTTACATTCAAAAGGGTCACTTGATATGTATGTTGAAATTAAGATTTCTTATTGGGGAAAAGCAAATTCATATGAATCCTGCATCATATTTTGTTGTTGGCTCCTTTCAAAACTTTCAGAAAGTTAAATCAAATTTTTTTATGATTACAACTGTATCTCCTTAAATCAAAAAAGAAGTTGAAATAAAATGGGTGTGGTCTCTTGTCTTATTTTGTTTTCCAGCAATGAATGTATGACCTTCAATTTTAATACTTTACAATTTTTTTCCTTTACTCATGAACAATGAGACCTAAATTAAATAACATATCTATAAAAAAAAAGCAATTGAAGTCTGAGAGACTGAAGAATGTTTTAACAAAATAAAGAACAAAATTCTGTTAATATGTAATTTTTCATGTGAAGTTTATTTTTTTACTCAGTCACCTTTAAACAAGGTCTTAGCCAAATTATTATAAAAAAAAGTTTCTTCAAAATGCAAATAGAAGAGTCCTAAACTTACCCACATCTATGTACATAATCTTCATAATGGTTAGGACAGTTAAAATTAACTACCAGGATCAAATGTTTTACATCTAAACCTCTAGCAGCCACAGAAGTGGCAATCTGAAAAAAAGAAAGCAATTATGTGTTGTTGGTCTGTTGTATCAATTAAATTCATGTTTCTGGAAATAAATGTGTATTCATGTTGACAATTTTAAACAAATTTGGGTTGAAAACGGGGCTTCCAAAATTTTTTTGAGCCAGTCGGACATTTCATATCTTATCCCTATTTTAAATCCCTTTAGACTTAGTAAATTAGGCAATTATGATAATCAGTTGGCCATCATTATACAAATGATTGACATTAAAACGATATTAAACTTTACTTTGATATAAATTCGATGTTCTGACGTAAAGTGTTAAATTGAAAGTGCAGCATTCGAAGTGTGCAACATCAGCGTACTAATTCTGCCTATATCCGCTTTAGACTCTTTATTTGTGCAAATTAACGTTGTCAAAAACTTTACTTTCGTTTTTAAAATCACATTTTCCTAATGCCGGATGTTGACTTGACACTGGTAAATCACGGATCAGAGACGGATACGTAATATCCGTGTACGTTTACGATTGAGTTAAGTAGCCTTTTCAAGTTATTTCTTCCAGAAAATACTCGAAATGAACGTTAGATAAAGGTATCAATGATAATTTTAGCATTATTGAAGAATTAGGATGCATAATTAAATTTCCCACCAGCGCACAATAGACAATAGACACATGCGCACACGTGTACTAGTTCAAACAACGTGGTTCTGACGATTATTTGTTTAAAACCTTTTCCAATTTTTCATCAAATCATATTTATTAACGTATTTCTTATAACTTCAATCTTTTAGACAAAATTAATAAGATGCAACCCGCTGAAATATAAGAAAATAACTTTGAATACCCTTTAGCATACCCCAGTATTTAACATGATGTACAGTGTTTTTAAATATAATAATGAATATCATACAAATTCGATTTCATTTATAAATATTCTTATTTGAAGAATTATTTTAAAATCTAAGGATACTTTTTTAAAACTGAATGCTCATTTACAATAATATCTACAAAGCATAATTAAATAGGATGTTGTTCTATACACGCTTACATGTGATCTCGTTTACCTGATCACCTTTATGTCCATTGTTATGCATCATCAATTCTATTGATTAAGACAAGCTAAGGTCTCTCATCAAAGGTAATGACCTGTAATCAGTGAATGATTTATGGCTTCAATATTACTTATTGAAGGGATAATTGTTTGACAGCTTGTTGTTTTTTAAATAAAAGAACAAATGTTTTTATTGATGCACCAAGCCGTGCATTTACTTTATGTACCCAGAGGATTAGACTAACTGAGACACTTCAAAGTACGGAATATGCTGCATCTGTTTAATTAAACCCAAATATGATCGAAATATCTTTGTGAAATGGATTGCCACAATTATAAACTATAATGCCCAAACGGACATTTTTACCGATCGATAGTTGGTAAAAAATGTGAAATGACCATTTTATGAAAATGCCTTGAATAACAAAAAGTAGCAAACCTATGATATTTGACCGTCTGAGGCTGAGAGCAGCCGGACTTTTTATATAAATTTCGGTCAAGTCCGGAATATATGACCGTTTTGGAAGCCATGGTTGAAAACCCTATTTTACATGTATTCATGATATTCTAAAAATTTACATCTTAATGAACATGTTTCTTTTTTCTGTACAATGATTCTATGTTTTTCTAAATATTGCTTTTGAGGAAACCCAATTTCTTCTGCAGTTTTTAAGTGATCTTACCAGAAGTTTAACATTTCCTGTTTTGAAGTCTTGTATAATACTATCTCTATCATACTGATCTATCCCTCCGTGTAAGGACATACAGGGATAGGAATGTTTCAACAAATCTTTCATCAGGTCGTCAGCATGTTCTTGTTTATCAACAAATATCAAAACACTCCCTCTTTCTTGGTAGACACCTAGTATCTCCAGTAGTTTTAAGAGCTTTCGGTCTTCATCGATTATGATCTGAAAATGTAAATTCTTTATACATTAATTGTGGACACAGGGTAATGTCTTGCATGTTTTACCAAATAACAAACCTTAACAATTGTTGACACCAGAAACTGATGCCAGAAACAGCCCTCCTAACTCTCAATTACACATACCTGCCAACTTCTCTTAAGGATATGGCCCTCAAATGACACCTTTTTCTAAGTACAATTCAAAACTAGGATTAATTGACCAATATCACAATGAATCATAGCTAATAGAATTACTAGATAGGAATCATGTCTTTTTTGTCAATGTACATACTTGCGCTCTTTTCATGATGTCACAAAGAGCACTCATTTTGATTTTTCATTAAAGTTCAATGAAAACGGGTAAATTTCTATTAATTTTTTTGACAGGAAACATAGTGTGGCCTATTTGAGTTGTAAATATATACGCTGTATTTATGAGAAATACTTTACAGTAAACTGCTTCACCGAGCGCAGCTGGATTAGACCGCAGAGGTCTAACCCTGAACAGTTGGGGCAAAAATGGACACAATATTCAAGCTTGATACAGGTCTGAATTTGGATTTTAATTAAATATTTGACACATTATAGGTTTCTGACACAGAATAAATGTTGTCAAAGAACTTGAAATTGGTTGTATGATTTGAATTCATATTCAATTGAAGATTTCTTGCTGTTGTGCAATACTTAGTAAATCTGTTTTCAGATTATATACAAAGAATTAGCAAAACAAATTGTGAAACCCAATTTTTTTCTTTGGAAAATTGACAATTTCTTAAATCTTGAGGGAAAAAAAATTTACATGTAGTTCAGTGGTTTTTGTTGGTTCATGTCTGTCATATTTGTATTTCGTAAATAATTTTGTTATAAATTAGGTCATTAGTTTCTTTAATTGAATTGTTTCATATTTTTCATGTCAGAGCCTTTTATAGCCAACTATACGGTAACAACATCAACAACAAAAACAATACTCTATTTTAAGAGGGTTAGACAGTTAGATATAACTATGGTATGGATTTTTCTCAGTGTTGAAGGCCGTACGGTTGCCTGTAATTGCTAACATCCACTTCATTTGAACTTTGATGGATAGTTGTCCCATTGGCAATCAAACCACATCTCCATATTTTTATATGAAAAGAAAATGTTTAGAAACCTCTAATAAGACAATTTCACCAAATTTAAAACAATATGCTTGTCAATTTCTTCTGTCCATGGCAATGAAACTTACAACATGTTGTTCTACATCTTTGCATACAACACTCCTCCCTCCAACTTGTACTTCTATAGGTTTCTGTAGAATCTTTCTAGCCAGGGCCTCCATCTGTCTTGGAAAAGTAGCCGAGAACATAACAGTCTGTCTGTCTGGTCTTACACACTCAACTATCCTTGTTACCTGGAGAAAAATAGATTTAGTAAATTGTAGAACTCTTTACACTACAAATTTACTTAGGGCTGTTCCATAATTGGTTGTTGGGGTTGGGGTAAGGGGTAGGGAGATAATAAAAATTTAACAGGTTGTAGTTCTTTTATAGAACAGCATTATGAATTGTACAGAATTTAAGATAAATATATATTGTGGGTGGCCTGGGTTAAAAAACACATTCAGATAAATATTTTATTTGGAACAGTCCTTTATTTAGATCACAAATGTCATAGTGATTTAGCCAGTGGTTAAAAAAAAAAAACCAGTCAAAAAGTGAAAGGTAAGCAACAAATAAATTGAAGGCTATGCATGCTGATAGTAAGAATGATTCACTAAATTGGTTTATTGTAGGATATTGTGGGTTCATCAATATTCTTGGGTTACAAATTTTCATGGTCTTTTGGGGTATATTAAAGGGAAAACAAGGTCCGGTAAGGGCTAATTTTGGCCTAAAATTTGAAGTACATCTGATGAAAGATTTTTACATTTTTTAAACACTTAAGTGTCTACTTCAGTCAATTCAATTAGTTTCTGTAAAAGATTTTAACTGATTTGGTCATTAAAGATGCTCAAATTCAAGCTCAAATATAAAAAATCTATCAAATATGCCATAATATACCATTTTTCAGATAATTTTTGTCTAAAATGTAAGTGGCCACATTTGTGTGCCATTGACAATGTCCCATTGAAAATATATTTAGTTTAAAACATAACATAATTAAATTATATAGGAGAATGCATATGAATGTTTTATTTTTTTTTTTATCAAATAACTACACTGTTAAGTTTGGGACTTCTTGAATTTACCTGAGATAGTATAGTTTACTTACTTGGGGTTCGAAACCCATGTCAAACATTCTATCTGCTTCATCTAACACAATGTAAGTACATCTCCTCAAGTTTGTAACACGTCCTGAAAATATATTGGTTCAATGTATAGGCTGTTAGTTTGATAAATTCACTTTTTATTTAATAAGATTTTTTTTATATTTCACCTTAATCTCTTTTCTTCGCAATTTTCAACTTTTTCAGACAGAAAACATATGTAGTACTTACCAGTAAAAAACAACAAGCTTTAAAAACTTAAAGAAAATGCATTTTTGTACAAATTATAAGTTATAATTCCTTTTAACAATTTTCCATCTCATAATGAAATCCCAGTTAAATAAATATTTAGACTATTGAAGTAAAATTGAACAATAGGAAGCTGAAAATCTTTTTTCTCAATTTTTTTTTACTGTCTTACTCCAGATATCAACTCAAAATTCTAATGCATATCAGATTCACATATGACAACTGTAGAATTTACAATATCATACATCATACACCATTTTAAATTTAAACATGATAATTGCATGTCTTAAAACATCCTGATGAAGTAGATACCATTTAAATCTTCTTGGATCATCTGCAATCATCAGACTGGCTGAAATAAACTGTGAAGTTACTATATCCTGAGCAAATAGAAGTAAATAAATTACACCGTATGTGTGGAAATTATAATCCCCACCCAGCCCATCTGGTGATGTATATAACTAGAAGTGATGGTATAACACATGTCCTACAGCAAAGAAGACAATGAAGCAATTTTTTAACAACATATGCCTCATAAGTTTCAGGTCATAAAAACCACTGGAAATAAGCCTTATTTTTAATTTGGGGAGAAAATTGAAATTTATGCAAATTTTTACATCATATAATGACATATTATATATGTCAAGATATCAAAAACAATTAATATAATCAGAAGTTGGAAAAAATTGCAAATTGAATTTGAAACTACTCAATATGGTAGTTTGTAACAGATGTAATACCTCAAGACAAACATCAGTGTAATTATAATTCTTTGGATATTCTCAATCAAGCTACCATAATTACTTCAAATTAAAGAAACCAGGCAGAAATGGAAACACTAACATGTCAATAAATTTCACAGACTTAAGAGCCCATCAGTGGAGATATAAAATAATTTTTGTCAATTTCAGAAATTCATTCAATTTTGATAAAAATGTATAGTAGCTGCAAACTTTCAGTTAGAGAATGACAATCTTCATCTGGAAGAACTTTTAACCATCTGTAGCTTTTTAGCTCCCCAAAAATGGTTTTAGCTTTGCATCTCAATATCTGTAGTTGCTTTAATGGGCAAAAGTGTTTGGGAAATTCCATGTTTTTTGGTATGACAAGGGTAAAACTATATTCACGACAAGATTTTGATAGGGGTTCAATTAGAATATTTGATTAATTAATCATGCATTAATCTATGGGAGCACATATTTAAAATATTTGTTTCATATTACACAAATAAGGCCCATGCATGGTAAAATAAACTATAATAATAATAGAGAAAATACCTCACAAATCAATACCCCCTCTCCAAAGGTTGCAAAGATATAACAGAGTCCATGTTTTTCAATGGGACATCAGAAAAATTTAATAGAGGGTTGAAATGAAATCAGGTACAGAACATATTATTAACACTTCATTTAAATCCAACTACTGTAAATTCAGAAATTATTGCGAGGCTTTTATTAATGTGAATAATGCTGAGTATTGCATTAATAAGAACTCGCATTCTGATATCTAATATACTTATGTCTGTTTGAAGTTTTCCTGAAATCGCAATAATTAATCTCACATTTTTTTTCAGTCTTCAAAAATCGCAATAATCAATGCACACAATAATTTCTCAATTACAGTACTTGTTATAAACTCTGGACTCATTATTATTCGAGGGATACTAACATTTTGTGAATTTCGTGGGTAAGTTGAACCACAAATTCAATGTTCAACGAAGTACAAATTTTCTATAGGTTTGTATGCAGGCTTTTTATACAATTGAGAAATCAAATATCCACGAAGAAATATTTTATCCTTGCTGACCAAATATGAAGTCAATCTGTTGTCTTTTTAGTAGTTTTGAGAAAAGTTTGATGAAAATGATTGATGGACCAACGGACAAACAGACAGACAAGGTGAATGCAATATAATAAGGTACATCACAAATTATTTGGAGAATATTTTAATACTAAAGTTTAAAAGTCACTTCTTTTTTTAAATTTTTTTCAATCAATTGCTTCAAACAAACAATTTTTTTGTACCTGAGAAAACTTTTTGAAAACAGCAACTTACTTCAAGAAAAGTTTAGATAAAATTTCAAATGGTCAAATAGAGACTAGAAATAGAGTTATCTTACATTTTGTGTACAAATGATATGCACTAATAATCTAAACCACGCCCACCAAATCTTAAAACATACCATTATTGGCTGACAACATGTCAATCATTCTGCCAGGAGTGCACACAATAATTTCACATCCTCTTTTTAATTCAGCAATCTGTTCAGATATCCCAGTTCCTCCATACACACAGACAGACTTTAAACCAAATACCTTGGCGAACTTTTTACACTCAGTATGAATCTGCATAGCTAGCTCTCTAGTGGGTGTCATTATAATAGCTGGTAAAAAGATAAATGAATTTTAGTAAAATATTAAAATAGTGTTATTTCTTTTTTTAATTTGGGATCTTTAAAGAAAACTAGAGTTGTGGCTTATAACTTGTGGCTATTTTATTTAAGAAAAGGTACAGTTTTATAGATTGTGAAACTGATTTATATCTAAATTATTATACATATTCACTATTTGTTTAATAATACTGTTTAAAAGATTAACTAAAACTCATACGGTGACCTATAATTGCACTTATCTATGTCATTTGAACTCCAGTGGATAGCTGTCTCATTGGCATTTATAACACATCTCCTTATTTTTATACTAATGAATAATAATGAAAATTTGCTTAACTTAAGATAGGAAATCAGAGCTTGACCTATTGTGTTGACACCTGTTCATTGAAGAAAACCCTTTGTAGCCTGGTAGATTTCTTTCGTTTATTTATTGAGTTGCTGTCTCATTTACTTTATCCTACGTCTCCTTTTATTCTTATCAACAAAGTTATTTACTGCTTTGTTACGGAAAACGTCTTACCTATTGGTCCATCCTCTTCGTCTAATGGTGGCTGATCCATGATGTGTCGGAACATTGGTATAAGGAAGGCCAGAGTCTTACCACTTCCTGTCTTGGCTATACCAATCAGATCTTTACCAGACATTATTGTCGGTATAGCCTGGGCCTGAATGGGAGTAGGCTTCTCATAGTTATGTCTGTAAATATATCAGATGGTCAAAAAAGAGGGTCTGAATGGGCCAATATTAGAGAAAAATGTGTCAAATGCTGTAAATTAAGAAAGAAATGTGTGCATTTATCATTGTAATTGAGGATTAAAACACATAAATATGCTGTTAATTATTGAGATTTTGGAAAAGCTGCATTTATATAACACAGACAACAAAATCTTATTTTTGTTATTTAGATATTTAGATAATTGGGTGTTGATGGCAGATCTTGAACTTTTCTTTTTTATTCATCCAAATATTATTTAGACTCAGGCTGAGTTTTTTTTGGTCCGTGTTGAAGGCCTCACTGTGACTTTGAGATGAAGAACAGCAATAAAAGTGCTGTTCTTTGGCTTTTTGTGTTTTTATTTTTCATATTTTTTTGGGCTGTGCATGTACTGATTTTGTGTCATGGATGGATACCCCATATCCTTTATTTTTCTATTGATTTAGAGTTTAACATATTGTTTAGACATATGTCTATTGGTTGAGGACTGTATGGTGTCCTCTAACATGCAAAACCTATTAACCCCGTCACATTCTGTATGTGCCTGTCCCAAGTCAGGAGCCTGTAATTCAGTGGTTGTCATTTGTTGCTTTTTATCATATTTGCTTTCTGTTTATTATTTTGAGCATAAATCAGGCTGTTAGTTTTCTTGTTTGAATTGTTTTTTTATAGCTTGCTATGCAGTATGAGTTTTGCTCACTGTTGAGGGTAGTATGGTGACCTTTATTTGCTAACCGTCTACATCATTTAGTCTCTGGTGGAGAGTTGTCTCATTGGCAATCACATTTGGTTTATGAAGATGTGTAGAAATTTTCATTTTCAATCCATGGAAGATAGCTCATTGACAATCATACTAATCTTTATATTTTCATCATGTAATTGGTAAATGTTCTAAAATCAAACTTAAAATAATTAATACTTACAATTTGAGAACACTCATGACTTTACTACTACAACCACACTGTGCCCAGTTCTTAATAGGTTTAGGACAGCCTTTACCTTGTACTTTAATTCCTTCTAAATCTAATCGGTAAGCATCTACTTCTGCAAACAAAAGGAATAATACATTGTTTCTCAATTAATCTATAGAAAGTTTGCTGGCTAAAACATAAGATATCTTGTTATTTATTTTCTTATAATCTTATATGATTTGCATAATGTAAGCATATCAATTAAAAATATAGATTTCTGAAAATACAAATGAAAATGGGTCTATTGGGATATAAGTTGATCTACACAAATGTTAAAAATATATTGACTTAATATTATGCAGCAATCTAGATCTTAATAAAATAGGATAAAACATACAATGTAGAACTTGTACTTGTAACATAATAACGATAACTCATCTTAACAACAAAAACCTTTATGCAGCTTATCAATCATCTATGTGTTCCTCTTGCACACTTTACCTTTCTTAATGATGATTGTCAATTATCTGTTAAGCAACCTAACGCAAGAAATATCTCCCTTTATTTTCCCTTAGTTGACATCTCTGCATAATGAGGAATCTTTTACTCTGATTGGTTACAATAGGTTTAAGACGCGATTTTTGGTGGTAGGCTTTTTTTTTGACTGACCATGTTCTCCTGACTACTTTCATAACCAATATTAACAACATGGTGGCTTACCTGTGTTGATTTTACTCTATATTTATGTTTAATAAAAACAAAAGGAATTTACTACATTTTGCGTGCGTAATTGAAATCATTAAAGTTACATTTTGAAAAGAAATACTTTTAAATAGTTTAAGAATTTTAAAAAGTTTATCAAAGTGTAAATAAAACCATAAATGTGCTCAGTTCTATTATAATATTTGCTGTCTGTCTTGCTAGTGTAATTTATAAAGATATGAAGTTACCTTCTTGTGTCATTCTGGCAATCTCAGGTACTTCAACATAAAAGTTCTTCCTGAATGGTGCGTAATATATCCTGTCGTGGTCTACTGTTATCATTTCCTGAAGAAAACAAAATAAGAATGTGTCCATGGTGTAGTACACTGATGCCCCACTCGCACTATCAATTTCTATGTTCAGTGGAACGTGAAATTGGGGTCAAAACTCTAATTTGGCATTAAGTTAGAAAGATCAAATCATAGGCAACATGTGAACTAAGTTTCAAGTTTATTGGACTTCAACTTCATCCAAAACTAACTTGACCAAAAACTTTAACCTGAAGTGGGACAGACGGACGAATAGATGAACGGATGGACAGACGGACGGATGAATAAACGAACGGAGGCACAGACTGAAAAACATAATGCCCATAAATGGGGCTTAAAAAATAACGTAACCAAAAGATACAGGTAAATTATTTCATCCATTACTATCCTGACAATATCATGAATATGCATGAACTTTTGCAACTGGCAGTTAGGCAAACAACAATCATCTACACTTTCCTGCTCTTTTTGAGTTAATTACACAGTTATCTCCCATATTCAAGCAATAAACATTTATTTTCTATTGTCAATAAATACTAGCCTGCTGCTTATACAGGATTGGGATCAACAAGTCTTGTCATCTGAATGTTAAGTGAACAATCAGGACACAAACTGTAATGTGGCATTAAACCGGAGAATGCACTGGTTTCACACTATCACATTTCTATGATCAGTGAACCAGTAAATAGGGGTAAAAACTGTAATCTGGCATATAATTTTAAAAGTTCATATCATAATGAATAAGTGTACTAAGTTTCGAGTTCATGTGGCTTCAACTTCCTGGTAAACTACCTTCAACCAAAAACTTAACATTATATGGAACAGACGAACAGAATATAAACTATCAGAAGAAACAAATATGGGACTGATTCACAAACCAGAAAACATAATGTCCCCATACTATAGTAGGAAGGTCAAAAAGTTGTGTGCTGCAGAAGTGTAAGAAGTCCCTGAAAAGGAAATTTTCATCACATATATTATAACACTTACCTTTTTCTTGTTTTTCTCCTTAGCTATCTTCAACATTGTGGTATCCAAATCATCTTCTTCATCTTCAGAAGAATACTGAAAAAAAGATTTATATAATATGTCTCATTTTTACACAGTGTTTTAAAATACCATTGAAAATTTATTATCGAAGTACAGATCAATGTGCACTTTTGTATTTTTCACCACTTATTCGTTTGATAAGATTACACAAAAAATAATTTTGACCTCTTGAGTTTTTATTTTTTGTTTGGTTGCTGTATCCTCATGATCATTGACTAATACCTTAAGTCTCCATTTAATCAAATACTTAAATTAACCAGCACTCCATCAAACTTTAATTCCTATTACCATGAAATAATCAAATAAACTTTCACAGCAGAATTGTTTTTATTTGTCTATTGTCCAATTTGCTTGTCCGTCCTCAATACAAGCAGGACATGCAGGAGAGTGTTTATTTCAACTGGTGTCCTAACGCACAAAAAAGATGTTCAAAAGTCAATGGGAGTAAGATGCCACTGCCTTACTATATGATAAAAAGATAAAAAAAACCTGTGTACTACAATTTTTACTCAAAATAACAGTATAATTCTTTTTTAAAATTCGAAACAATAACGTCACATGTGGAATTTTCTTAAGATGACTTTAACTATGCTGTGATGAACCAAATGATGTTCACTTTAAATCTGCCACATTATGTGTTGTTCCAAAAACAGTCAAGTTATTTATTACCTATAACAAGTGTTTTTACAATGTTTCTTTTTGTGAACATATAAATAGATATTACCTCCATAGCATCAACATTATTCTCCATGAGTTCTCCTTTCACAATCGTATTATCAACTTTCTTTTTGGTTGCAGTTATCATTGTAAACTTCTTTGTTTCACCCTATAAAATTAAATATAAAACATTCAAACAAGTAAAAAGCTTTCACTGCCAACTGATGCTCCCCTAACTGCACATTTATTGAGAGAAAACATTTTCATTTCAATGGTTTAAAATACTAATATGCTTGAATGATCCTATTTTTGCCAATTTTTCACCTGTATAAATGTGTTACAATTCCTAGAAGGATACTGTCTTGAAACAAACATAAAAAGAAAAATCTATTTTTATTAACAGGGAAGTTGACCCCAAAATCAATTGGCTTTATCCCTTTCCATATAGCTTCATTTTGATCAAACAAGGGAAACTTAAGTAACCATCAGGAAACCGTTTTCAATTTTATTTTTTTTATTTGAAGAAACAATGACCTTGACCTGTGACCCCAATATCAAGATGCATCTTCTAAACATTCTTCTCTTTACCTTAATTTTCCATCTGTATAAAAGATGAAAAATTTGGTGAAAAATATCAAAGGGACATTCAAACTCATAAGTCAAAATTAAACTGACAATGCCATGGCTAAAAAAGAAAAAGACCAACAGACAAACAACAGTACACAAAACACAACATAGAATACTAAAGACTGAGCAATACGAACCCTACCAAAAACTGGGGGTGATCTCAGGTGCTCTGGAAGGGTAAGTAGATCCTGCTCCACATGTGGCTCCCATTGTTTTGCTCATGTAAGTACAGTTGTTTTGCTCATGTAAGTACAAACCCGTTAATATGTTTCATTCTGATCAAGCAAGGTAAACTCAAACAAGAAATGATTGTAACAGGATGCTGTTACGAAGTCTCCCAAACGAAGCTCCCATAATTCGTAATTCCCATGGTCGCCTGACATTGAGCAAAGTCCAGTGAAAATTGGTTTGGTCCAGTAAAGTTATATGCATTAGTGATGCCTGGGGACTAACCCTGTATATCATTCAAATCATCTTGGCATGACAAACCAGAATATATATGGTTTAGGGGTGGGGATCTTGACCATTTACAAGATATTAGAACTTTCTCAAATGGCAGGGGGTGGGGATGACCCCTGGGGACTAACCCTGTATATCATTCAAACCATCTTAGCATGACAAACCAGAATATATATGGTTTAGGAGTGCGGATCTCAACCATTTACAAGATATTAGAACTTTCTCAAATGGCAGGGGATCGGGATGACCCCTGGGGACTAACCCTGTATATCATTCAAACCATCTTAGCATGACAAACAAGAATATATATGGTTTAGGGGTGGGGATCTTGACCACTTACAAGATATTAGAACTTTCTTAAATGGCATAGGGTGGGGGTGACCCCTGGGGACTAACCCTGTATTTCATTTGATTTGCTTTATCATGACAAACAAGAATATATATGGTTTAGGGGTGGGGATCTCGACCATTTACAAGATATTAGAACTTTTTCAAATGGCAGGGGGTCGGGATGACCCCTGGGGACTAACCCTGTATATCATTCAAACCATCTTAGCATGACAAACAAGAATATATATGGTTTAGGGGTGGGGATCTTGACCACTTACAAGATATTAGAACTTTCTTAAATGGCATAGGGTGGGGGGTGACCCCTGGGGACTAACCCTGTATTTCATTTGATTTGCTTTATCATGACAAACAAGAATATATATGGTTTAGGGGTGGGGATCTGGACCATTTACAAGATATTAGAACTTTCTCAAATGGCAGGGGGTCGGGATGACCCCTGGGGACTAACTTTGTATATCATTCAAACCATCTTAGCATGACAAACAAGAATATATATGGTTTAGGGGTGGGGATCTTGACCACTTACAAGATATTAGAACTTTCTTGAATGGCATGGGGTGGGGGTGACCCCTGGGGACTAACCCTGTATTTCATTTCATGTGCTTTATCATGACAAACCAGAATATATATGGTTTAGGGGTGGGGATCTCGACCATTTACAAGATATTAGAACTTTTTCAAATGGCAGGGGGTCGGGATGACCCCTGGGGACTAACCCTGTATATCATTCAAACCATCTTAGCATGACAAACAAGAATATATATGGTTTAGGGGTGGGGATCTTGACCACTTACAAGGTATTAGAACATTCTTAAATGGCAGGGGGTGGGGGTGACCCCTGGGGACTAACCCTGTATTTCATTAAATGGGTTTTATCATTTAGAACATTTTCAATTAAAAAGATTGTGTCTATCACAAACGGTTTTCAATTTATAATCATTTGAAAATTTTAAAAAATAAAATCCCATAGGGTTCTATAGTAAAACCCTCTTTTGTTTTTTCCCCTCAAAGTACCCCTTTATAAACCCCATTGCACAAACAAAACCCTGATTGCACCACTAGACATGTTAGTCTAACATATTGTGAAATCCTAAGTTAATCTGACAAGCGGTTTTGGAGAACAGGTGCGGACAAGTTCAAATTTAAAAGCGGCGGAAGAGGAAGAGGAAGAAGAATAATAATAATAATAAGAACTGAGCAAAAACAATAAGTCTTCCCAAACTTCGTTTGGGAGACTTAATTACCATCCAAAATCATCTTTCCATTTTTTTCCCATTTTTAGTAACAGTGACCTTGAATTTTGACCTTTTGATCCGCAAAATCAATAAGTTATATCTTCCATTTGCACCCAAATTTTCACAAAATGATAACTTAGCCAAAATAATAATACTGTGAAAGAGAGTTCTATGCTGTAAGTTATTTTACTAAATTATTCATCTGTGTTATAGGTTGATCACTGCTGTAATTTAAAATAAAGATATCCTCAGAAACAATAATCATTAATGTATTTTTAAATTAATAATGTGAAGAGCATGAAAATGGTTGACAACAAGACCAATACTTGAAGCATAACTGATCATTCACTTTAATTGAAAACAAGAAAAGCATTTTACCTAATTCTAAGCCTTGTACAAATGAACTTTTTTATTCAAGACAATGGTTGTTCTATAAGCATGATAAGTATGTAGGACTCAGAGGTGAGATGGTCTGCGCCAGATATGATGGTCCTTTCACTGATATGCAATGGTTTATATGATGCATGTAGCAGTTTAAATTCTATTGATGTGCAATTATTATGAGAATTATATTTTTTAATTGATAAGAATATAATTTGCATTCTTTTCTGCCCATAAAGCATTTATGGTATTTCTGTATCGATAATATGTATGTGTATGGTTGAAATAGATTGGTGGCTTATTTTGTTTCGTTCTGAATTTCAGACAACTACTACAGAAAACTTAAAAGGTACATCTAATAATTTTAAACAAATTGACTTCTACATCCACATGTGAACATGAAAAACAAAAATTTTTGTAACCCATAGCACTTCAGAGTTACCACCAACACACTTTGGCTTAGCTATCAACAAGATAGCGTCACAATGCCATCATCACACTTCAGCATCAAACCATCACAATTCAGCATGACCATCTTGTTCAGAGTCCTAAATATATATCCCACTTCTATCTCAAATATGCTGTCAGAAGCACTAACTGTCCAAGTACATAGTAAAATAGTTAAGCTATAACATGTATAATAATCACTTACATTTGAGGCATTTTCAGTCTTCACAGGTTTCACATCTTTTTTCTCTGATTTTTTTTCAATTGTCTGAAATTCAAAATGTATCTTGTATTATTGTAATTGTTTTACAATAAAATTGAGAATGGAAATGGGGAATATGTCAAAAAGACAACAACCGGACCAAAGAGCAGACAACAGCCGAAGGCCACCAATGGGTCTTCAACGCAGCAGGAAAATCCCGCACCCGGAGGTGGTCATTAGCTGGCCCCTAGATAAAATTGTGTACTAGTTCAGTGAAAATGGATGTTACACTAAACTCCAAAACATATAAATGAACTAAAATTAAAAAAACATACAAAACTAACAAAGGCCAGAGGCTCCTGACTTGGGACAGGTGCAAAAATGCTGCGGGGTTAAACATGTTTTGTGAGATCTCAACCCTCCCCCTATACCTCTAGCCAATGTAGAATAAAGAAGCACATAGTAATAGGCACAGTAAAACTCAGTTTAAAAGAAGTCTGAGCCCAATGTCAGAATAAGTAACAGGCAACAACAAATGAGAATGTCAATTCATAAATTTTTTTTCATATTTTCCAACAGATATTTCTTTTAAACAAAAGGGGAGGGGAGCACCCATTAGAATTGGGAACTAGAGGACCTGAGCATGGTTAGATTTGCAAATTTGCATCTTATGTGAAGCATAAGTCAACAAGACAACAATAGACAAGTGTCTATACTGGTTATCAAGCTCTAAATTGACCCAATTGGCAAACATGCACACATAAATGTCAATATCAAATCCTGGGTTCTCTGATTCGTAGTTCTTTGGAAAATATGAAAAAAAATTATGAATTGACATTCTCATTTGTTGTTGCCTGTTATCTATTTCTGGCATGAAGAGATATTTCTGGTATCACTGCATGGAGTGTGATATGACAAAATGAGTTAATTTGATAAGCTTATCCAGCATCATGAAACAATATTGTGACATTTCAATATTGGCTATTAGTAAGGTCCTGGATGACTTTCAAAGGTCAAAAGGATGTTCATTTCTGAAATATTACAGATTAAATTCTTTCAAAATAACTCCTTACAGGATTATTAATAATTTTGGTTGTATAGTTCACTGTATGGCCTTCAACAATGAGAAAAACCTATAATGTATAGTCAACAACATTACCTACCATTCCTGATCAAACAGTTTCAAATGAACTAGTACAGATTAGCATCAACTCATGCTATAGCTAATTCATTAGAATTTGAAAACTGCACAGTGATCGGGAAGGACGTGCGCCTTGCGCCAATTGCGCTTATCGACCAGAAATGGCGCATAGATTGACAAATGTAAGCGCCCGCGTGGCGCATGATATTTTTCACTTCGTTTTGAAACGTTGAGATATCGTCAAATGGATTTCCGATCGTATTTCGTGCCGCCATTTGTGAGTACACAACTGTGTAGTGTTTACTCAAATGATAGGAGCACCTATATATTTTTGGGACGTCTCGGGTGTTTTCCTATGGTAATAATAGCAACATGCGGTATGACTGATTACCCAAAAAACGTAATTAACCATCATTCATGATATATTTTTTTATAAACGACTTTAAATTTGTGAAAATTGGCTAGTACAGGCGAGAATTCTTCTCTGATTATAATCTTTTCAGTAAGCTTGCTATTATTTCGATTGAAAAACCCAAAAGCCTTTTTATGAATAGCATAGTATTTGTCTCCGTAAAAGGGGCTTAACTGTCCTTGTCATTTTTTTTTGGTCTTTGGCTCGTTTTGACATTTTGTAAACATGCCTTCAGCGAATTGTTGTTGTGTCTTATCAATTAACGTTTTTCTCTACTGTTATTCTTGTCATCGCGATGAAGTAATAATAATACAAGTGCAAATGAAATGCCAGAAACTTCCTCTAATACGGAACGTCTGGAATAAGTATGGTATCGACGAAGACCCAAATTTAATGTAAAAAAATACATGAACATGAACAACATGAACAAGGAAACAGTACCAGTTTTAACATTGTAAATAAAGGTTATCGTAAATATTGCCCGGTTTGGAAGAAGTTATTGTATATTCATTGAAATTGAAATTACAAAATCACAGGAACAATATCCATGATATTAGTTAGAATCATACTTGTAAGTACAGTGAAATATACACTTTTTTTATTTTTTGTTTTTATTGTAAACGAATGGCCCACTCATTTGACAACATGGCCCATTAATTCTAAAAATGGCCCATTGAATTTATTTTTGGGGGGCCCTGGGCCCATAGAGAAAAAATCCTTCCAGATCACTGACTGCAATTTTAAAAGAGAGCATTATTTTTGAAAACTCTGGGGTTTGCATACCTAAATAATATGAGTAAAAATATTGGGTGAACCCTTCAGAATAATGTACCTGCATGAAGGCATCAAGGGGATCTTCCTCATCTCCATCCCCTCCTGTTTGAGAAGGTTCTTCCTCTTCCTCTTCATCATCATCCTCCAGAGACCATTTTTTAGAAGGAGGGGCAAAATTAACAGGTAACAGTTCAGCTTTCTTTTTCCTTTCTGCTCTCCATTCTTCTATTCTTTTTCTTCTCTTATCCATCTCCAATTCCAATCTTTTCTGCTCTTCTTCCTAAAATAAACATTAAAACAGATTAAAATTACCTCATTGCTTTATAAATTGCATGAAGATTCACAAATATATGAAATATGAAACCTAGCAAGCTGATTGGGCCATATACAAAAACGCTGGTCTTTTTATATTCTTTGTTTCAATTTCACAAACCTGAAAAGACTTTCAGTATGCTTAAAATCAAGTGCCTCAAAAACTATGATATTTCTATTTTAAATCAGTTCATGCAAATACATGTATGTGTGTAAATAAAATTCAGAATGGAAATGGGGAATGTGTCAAAGAGACAACAACCCGACCAAAGAGCAGAAAACAGAAATTGTTTCCTTAATTTTACAGGGCTAAAAAAACAATATAATTAACTTTTAATTACTAATATACTTTGATCATGTTGATATATATATATATATATATGAAGGAGACAAAAAAATTTAAATTACCTGCTTAACAAAATAAATAAGTTAAAATTATAGTTTCTTAACAAAATGATACCTGAGTGATCATGGTAGTATAACATGTAAATTATTTACTAAAGAAGAAGTGTGTTTTATTTCTTAGATCATAGAGTAAAATTATATATCTGTGCACATCCAATCTTTTACAATTTATAAAGGAGTAATTGAAGAGAGGTCAATATTAGCTGTAAAATTACATGAAATTCAATCTAGTAATGCTATCTGATGACCACCAAACTAAGACATCATAATTACACACATTGACAATGAAGATTATAATTTTTTAGCAAGTTTTGCCTCATTTCCTTTCGATGGTTTTTGCATCAGACAAAAAAATGGCATCTAGTAGAGACAAAAAAAATCTTGATTTGATATGTATCTTACCCAAACTCTTCTTTAAGTTACAAATCTTGTGGTGTAAATGTATGGCCAATGTTTCCCAGATGGAAAGACATTTTAAATTTGGTCACAAACAAGTATACTGATATATTTCAAGCTTCCGTTACTGTTTAAAACACACAGAACATGTAAAAGAAAAATGTTATTTGAATTTGTACATGCTTTATTTCAAATATTGTGTTTTAGGTGAAATATTACACATTTAATATTCTGGAAAAAACTTAGGCCTTCCGGGTGCTACTACTTTATCAGTATGACTATGTATACGATTCTGAGTTTGACAAACCTTATCAAGAGGTTCATCTTTAACATTCAGAGCCCCTTCCTTGTGGATAACACGGTCATCATCATTCTTTCTGCTGTTTGGTGACCTGGATCTTGATCTTCTGGCAAAAAATAAAGACAGAAGTAAGACATGATTTTATCATACATGTAGATCACTAAATAAATATCCTCCATATAAGTGAAAGAAAGTGTGGGGTATACAGGTATATATCAATGAGATAACCTCAAACAACACATAAAACAGAGAGGTTCACAGTTTACTATCATTCACAAGATAAATTTTCTCAAGTAATCTAATCTGCAGAAATAAAAAAAACCTACAATTTCTATTTCAGAACCAGTGAAAAATCAAAAGGGAAAATACAAAGATTTGCAGATTTTCAGACAATATTTCAAATAAATGGGGAATGTGTCCATGGGACACAGATGATGCCCCGCTTGCATATCATATAAAGTTATAAAGGGACATAACTGAAGAACGGTAAAAGTGATCTTACCCAAATTTGTACCTGATCTGATTTTTGAGGTAATTAAGTATTGTGTATAAGTTTCATAACATTTGGTTGAGGCAAACTTAAGTAAGAGAACAGAAACGAAAAATTCAGCAATTTTTCCATTTGTAAAGGGGCATAACTCTAGAACAGTAAAAGTGACACCACCAAAATTCAAACTTGATCTGTATTTTGTGGTAATAAGCATCATGTACAAGTTTCATAACATTTGGTTCAGGTAAACTTAAGTTGGAGAACGGAAACAAAAAGTTCAGCAATTTTTCCATTTGTAAACAAGCATAACTCTGGAACTGTTAAAGGGGCACTAGTTGTCAAATTCATGTTCACCGATTTGACTCAAATTCTCATATTTGATTTATAACCATGTAAAACATTTTACAGGGCATGGGCCTTGATAATATGTAGCTTCGTTTCGTGTGTATTTTAGTCTTGACTCCATCTAATTAACTATCGAGTTGACCTCAGAAGATGTCCGATAGTCATCTTAGTGATATAAACATAAATATAGATATAAATACAAAGCGAACACTTGCAATTGGATTTTCCTAGGTCTGTTAAATTTCATATTATAGATTAAAATTACATATGAATCATCGTTTTTACCTGTATAAGAATGATTTTTTGTGGATCGAATCAGTCAATCAAATGATTTACCTTTGTTTCACTTTCAATGTTGACATTCTATCCTTTAAATAATTGAACACGCACACTGCATGCGTTATCCATCTCTAGGTAAGGGGTTAAATTGAAGTTCACATGAATACGGATTCAATGAGGTCGATTATTCACTTGCAAGTGAATAATTCATCATCAATGTTTCTTAGCTTAATTTGACAAAATTGAACAATACGGGCTGCTAAAAGCAAATTATTATTTCATTTTTTCACTTTCATTAATGAATTTGAACAAAAAAAAATCATACTTTAGATTTTTTATAAATCTCGTAGCTTGTGCCCCTTTAAAGTGACATCACCAAAATTCAAACTTGACATAAATTTAGAAAACATTACTAATTTTAAGAGTGATCTCCTTTAACACAGCTCTAAAAAATTGGGGAACTCTCGTTTCTTGTTTCTGCTTATCACTTAAATATCTGTCCATATGGAACATGAGTCTACATTTATATTTATTCTATGTTCCTTATTCTGCCGTGTATAGTATGCATTTGTGCATAAAATGCGCCCCCTTTTCATCCCCCCAAAATCATATCTAAAATGAAACTCCTTACTTCCTCTTATCTCTATCACGTGATCTAGACCGCCTTCTGTCTCTCTCTCTGGACCTAGATCTTCTGCGATCTTTTGATCTTGATCTTCGTCTTTCTTTTGATCTTGATCGTCTCCTTTCTTTAGACCTACGTCTTTCTTTTGATCTTGACCTTCTTCTTTCTCTATCTCTCTCTCTTGACCTTGATCTTCTTTTAGGACTTCTTGATCTACTTCTGTGTTTCTTCTTTCTCTCCCTTGAAGTACTCCTTGATCTTGACTTTGATCTTCTTCTGTATGATCTAAACAATAAAAAATATACAAATTTTTCTTTAAAGATGATCATTACATTACTGAAATAAGAGTTGTGGTAGGTTACTGTGTCATATTTGTTTTTAGTTTATTGTTTGGTCATAAATCTGGCTGATGGTTTATATATCGGTTCACATTTTGTCATGTTAGGGCCTTTTGTAGCTGACTAAACAGTATTGGTTTTGCTCATTTTTGAAGGCTGTACATGTATGATGACCTATAGTTGCTTAAATTCACTTCATTTGGACTCTGTTGGATAGTTGTCTTATTGGCAATCATACCACATCTCCAAATTTCATAAATGTATTTTGTTCCGAAAATTATTATTGAAGAACAACTTCCATGACTTCCCTTTCATGCCCTTACAGAGTTTTTTCTTCAAAACTTAATATACAAATCAATAAAATATCTTAAACTGTGCTGGAGTGACACATATGTCCATGTTTTCATTTATGCAAGCTACTCATCATTGGCACTGCTGTATCTCTTTCAAATAAAATACCGAATTTTAAACAGTGTAATATTGTTCTTCAATTGGTCCCGAATGTAACGTCATTAAGGTGTGACATCATATATCGAATGACGTCATTGTTGGGCATATGACGTCACAGACTTCCAGTTGTTGTACTTTCTGGCACACGAAATGCAACCTTGTAAAATTGCCGGCAGCAAGAGCATGAAGAGGGTTAAAGTCTTATATACGCCCTTGATACAAGATACCTAAATCACATTTTATGCACAACATGCACGTTTCTAATATTCAGTATTTTTGCACCTAAAAAAATTCGTTATACACAAGCCTTAAATTGTATTGGAGGTAATTTTTTTCAGAGACAAATGACTGTGGATGTAACAATACATAGGTTTTGTAATATAGTCATTTTACTAGAACATAATTGTGAGATAATTGTAAGTGTGGTACCTTCCATCTCGGGGCATTTTTAATTTGTTCTCGCTTTTAAGGCTTTCTTTCAATTTGAGCCCTCAAATAACTGTAAGACGATGGGAAACAACGTTTTACTACAGTTTTTGTCATTCAAATGCTTGTTAATTTACTAAAAACGGTCAATATATAAAGCGTTTTAATGGTTACCGCATGTCGGGTTGTCGTAATAAATAATTAATCAATAATATATTAATACTTTGCCCTTGAATTCTTATGAAATATCTATTGAAAACGTTTGTTTTGCCATAAAAATTAAATAATTTATAAAATATAAAATAGTCCAAGTGTTACGTCTTTCTGCCGTAAACTGTTTACCGGAGGTACCACATGGTTTTGTTTTGAAACTTTCTTCAAAGATTACTTAGCTTATCAGGTTATATTCTGCTTGGTCATTATTCTTACTAGTTTTATGTGCAGATTTCGTTTACAAATTTGTATGAGGAAGGTGTTACCATCATGATCACAGAAATCAAAAAGGGATTGTAACAATAGTCAATAGTGAATAGACAATACTAACATGCTAGGATCTTCACTAGATGAATCTGGATTTTGTAAATTCTATAGAATTAATGTCTTCTGTATCTGCAAAAGATTACTGAAATAGCTTTCAAAATGCAGGACATGGCTATATATACATTTTCTAAACATTTCTTGGTTCATGTCCCCCCCCCCTTTTTTGGCACCCTTTTGCCCTTCCATTGACACTAATGATAGAAAAAAAACTTCCTACTGAAGGTTTACAAAACGGGGAGGTAGCTCTAAGATGGTGATGCCTTTTTTGCAGTATCTACAGGAATTCTAGTCACTTCAGCACCTGGTCAAATCGGCACCAGGTATAGTCAATTGGGGTATCGGGTCCGTTCGCGCCCAATACACGTTCGCACCCTACACGTTCGCACCCCACACGTTCGCCCCCTAGGTCCGTTCGCACCCTACACGTTCGCACCCTTTTTTTTATTCAAAAACCTGATAATTTTTTAGATGTTTTGTAGATGTTTATATCAAAATATTTTTATTTTCATAAATAAAAATTCGGGAATTTTTAAATGAAATATAGTTTTAAATTGATTTGATGAATAAATATTAAATGTTAATTATGTATGATTACTGCTTATTGGTATTTATTCACAGCCTAATTTGGTGTTATTGTTGAGTGTTTGAAAATCATGATTGTTGTCATGGTTGTTTTAACTTGCGTTGATGTAAATACTGCATGTATTTAGCTTGGTATGAGTAAAACTTTGAAGATTTAAAAAAAAAAACATGAAAGATAATTGTTTTTAACTGCTTGGCTCCTTTGATCTCACGTGTGTCAGAATCCCACTTTATTCATAAACAATGAAAAAAACTATTTATAGCAATACACTATCCAAACATGATTAAAAATTATTCAACACAAAAATAAAATACTGGTCGTCAGAATCTCACTTTATTTTAAAACAATGAAAAAAATGTTTATAGCAATATATTTACCATAACACAAAAAAAACCTTGTCAGAATCTCACTTTATTTAGAAACAATGAAAAAATATATATTTATAGCAATACACTTACCAAAACTCGTTTACAAATTATTAAAAACAAAACCAATAAAAAATGGGCGCGAACGTGTAGGGTGCGAACGGACTTCGGGTGCGAACGTGTAGGGTGCGAAAGTGAAAGGGGGCGAACGTGCATGGGGGCGAACGTGATTGGGCGCGAACGGACCCGGATTCGTCAATTGGGTACCTAGTCAAATTTGGGCTTGGTTAATACGGCACATAAGATTGTTATTTGTGCGCCCATGATTTACATTATGTTTTGCAAGTAAATTATTGAAGACTCTGTTTTTTCTATATTTTTAAAAATATTTTCACTTCGTATGTCAACGTATATTAATCACACACATCAGAAGTTTCAATGGAAACTTTGTAATAACAATGCCATATTATCTCTGTTGGAACTTGTAGTATAAAAGAACCTCTATTTCATGAACTGCACATTGCTAGTAAACATACAAAATTGGTGCCAAGTTAGTCATTTTATACAAGTAGACAGGAAATGCAGGAAAACAATTTAAATTACAATGATTGAATATGTGTTTATCCTCATCTGTAGATTAATCAACAGCTTGGGTAACATCTTCTTTGTTTAATTAAAAGTTTTTTAATTAGGCCAAATAAAAATATATGTCATGTATGTGTTGTTCCAGTCATGCCAGTTACATTTTTGTACATCCTGAAAGAAAAGGTCGATAAGTGGCATATTTTTTTTTTTTTTTTCAAAATCCAGAAAACAAATCATGTGTTCACCGAGACTGATTTCAGGTATTATACCCGCCCCTAATGGAAGTTTGCCATTTTGTATGTGTTTGGTTGTAAAATAAACAGACATTTTACGTTTTTAGTTAATTTTGCTGCGTTCTGTTAAGAATTTTTTGCATTTTTAGCAGATGACAGAAGTCAGTGAATTTAATTATTGACATTCACATTCCACAATATGGATTTGTTAAAAATTTAAACTATCAGTGTTCTCCCCAGGCCCTTAAAGGACCACGGGCCCGCGATGTATAATTTTTTACCGTGGTGGTATCGTTCTTAGCGCGATGTATAATTTTTCTCCGTGGTGCTAAAATTTTCAGTTAAAAAATCGTAAATCGGTAAAGTTTTAAACCACTTGTTAAATCTTTTCCGTGCGGTATAAAATTCCAGGTGAAATTGGACCAGTTCAAACCAGTTCAACACGGATTGTTTACACCACGTGATCGATTTACCTTTATGAGGTCCTTTGTTGATTGGATTTAATCGATGCAATTAACACTTTTTACATGATTCTTTTGTGTTTTAATTTAGAGATCATAACTTTATGATCAAAGATGACTATTTTAAGGCTTCAGTCACCACCTGACAAGTCGGCAAATACCTTGTACACAAACCGTGTTGACCCGATAGTTGTACACACGACCAGTGTTCCCGCCTGCCCTAAATAGAAGGGCGGCCCGCCCTTGGTGCCCTTACCCCCGCCCTTCTGCCCTCAAAAGTAAAAGAATGCACCCCTCTGCCTTTTCAAAAAAATAAAATTTCAAAATTTTATGCCTACCGGCGTTTCCGGTAAAATTGTTACCTGATTGTGTAACACTAATTAACTGACAATGGGATTAAGTTAAATACCTAATGCTTTGGCAGTTTTATCACCTTTGTTAATGATTGTTTACTGCTAATTAGTGGATTTAAGATAATTGAACAATTACTAGATATTTAATACAGAATGAAATGTCCACATGTTATCCATTTGTAATGTTTATGTACAGCATGTACACCTGAAAAAAATTATTTCAGAAGGCATAACATAAAAAATAAAATTTTAAACAATTTTAAATGCATACATAGTTTTGACTTCATTGGTAAAAAATGTTTTGTTTCATAACCATGAGTATGAAATTTAAAGAGGAATCAAAGAAATTTGTACTTTGAACATAGATTCACTTCCTGTTTTTAATACTTCTTGTATTTTATAATCCTCCTGACATGGAGCACTCAACAAATTTATTTTTAACAATGATCAGTCAGGGGTGCTACTTTAACAAGTGATTTCATCATCACTTATTTCAGTGATTTGATAAATTCAGTTATCACCTATTTAAGTGATTTTAGTGTTTTCTTTGATCTTCAAATGCTAATTTCATTGATTTTCCATATTTTCACTATCTTTTCTATAATTTTCCTACATAAATCAATTATCCCTTTTTCTTTGTATATTAATTTCACCAGTGCGCTTGGGCAGTAAGTTTTTAAAAGTACCCTTGGGAATTTTTCTGTAATCAAAAATTCATTAACTACTCTTACTATCAGACAAAGATCAACAATATTAGGTAACCTGATTGGTTTTCTTTAGAGTTAGAATGATCTACTTCAAGGTTATGACCTGATCTACAAATTATTCCAGTTTTTGCATATTTTAAAAAAACTGTAAAAGTGTCAGGCTTATCAAGCAAAAGACAATTTCTGCATGTACATAGTTGTTTTTTCAATGGAATTGTTGTCTTTTTACCAATAAAAAAATCAAGCTTGTGGGAAAAATATTAAGAAAATGTTATAAACACTTATTAAAGTGATTACATTTTAACTTCTAAAATTACTTGTTTCAGTGATTTTAAAAAGTCTGTGTGAAAATTTTTAATATTTCACAGCCAAAATCACTCGAGGAAGTGATTCTGAAATCACTTGTTTTAGTAGTACCCCTGACTGATGATGGAGAAAAAAGTAACTGTTTATACTTTCTGCAATATATAATTGCATCAATATAAATATGATCATCTCCTGTCTCACCTGTTATATTTATAAAACTCCTTACTGAGGAGCACTTTGGTGTGCACTTAAAAATACTTTTTTGTAACAATTTAAAAGATAATAAATAACTTTCAATAACATATATACTATATGTTTGAACAAGTAATTTAAATGTAGATAATTTAATTACATTCAACATTCAATTTTGCATGTATAACTCCATCTTTCAAAACTACTTGTTTATTTTGGTATAAGTTATAAAACATTGAAATTTCTGATGATTATTTTCCATACCAAATGTACAAGTTTGTTTAGATTAACATCAGAATGATATGCTTTGCTTCATGGTATGATAATTTGATGAAAAAAAAATCTTACTGGAACCAACATCAAGAACACATTAATTTCTGAATATGGTTTAAATACAACTAATGTTCTCCAGCTGAGCCTCGCAATATTCAAGGTAATTTATACACTGTCCAACATTGCCCTTAAAATCTGGGTTATAACGCTAAAGTGCCCTTTCAGACAACTAGCACCCTTCTGCCCTGAGATTCAAGCTGGAACACTGACGACGGTACATATTTTGTACATTATAAAGTTAGCTCAATACTTATATTATAGTTTTATATGTCTCTGATTAAACCATGGCCAAAATTATCTTTAATTATGACACAATTATTGCATGATATTCCGGTTTCAAACTGTCAACAAGTAATTCAAAGGGGAAGGATCACATGACCCAGTTACTTCACGTAGAATATTCAAGATTATTTACAATTAACTGCAATCTATTCTATTTTATAAATAAAATGCATGACTGTACCTTCAAACTGGATATCTATATCCATATGATCATTAATGAATAACAGAAGTGATCTTGCAATTTTAATCCATAAGCACATGTTAAATCTATTTATATCTACTTCCAGTCATTTAGGCGGGAAAATAAGGAGACTTTGATGTTGACATTGAACATGTTGAATATAGTTACTTATAGATCTATAGACCTAAGATAAATTTATAGATTTAGGAATTCTTTTTAAATGGATCATGACAAATAAAGATTTAGATTTCAGTGCAGTATTAAGTCTGTATCTATGTTTGAATATCACCAAAGACAAGAAAGGTTAATACAATGTATTTACATTACATGAAATCTGGGACTATTATACTAATATAGTATAATAGTCCCAGATGAAATCTATGGCAAAATGTTTTAAAATTTATGAAAAATTTCTTTTTATTAAAATTTAAGATAGAAACTGGTTCAAATTATAACACAATTTTGTTCTTGTTAATTTTATATCTCCTTATGACAGGAATCCTTTCACATACAACAACTTTCTTTCTAGAAACTAGAAAGTTTTTTAAATTGAACATTTTTGTTCTCTTTTGAATCTGGGAACAGTATACATGTATCTAACAATATATATGTTCCTGTTTGAATGATATTTTATTTTTATTGATCATGGATTTTATAAAAGATTTAATTACTTTAAATTTAGATGAATATTATGTAATGAATCATGTTTTATTTACTTTTAAAAAATATTAAAAGTATACAAACTGTTTATTGATCTTTTTAACCAATAATATTCTGACATAACACAGTACCACAGTATAAAAACAAAACAAGAGACATAAAAACTGCAGTAACTAGAAATATAGCGACGCCACGCGACACAACTGATTTTATGAATCATTTCACCAAGCTGTTCACACGCGTTACCCTGGTGCTATCCAAAAATCCTGGGGAGAACACTGACTATTCTCCCCATATACCTCAAATAAAAAGGTAAAAATATGTGGTGCCAAATTGACTAACATGACTAACCGAATGCTGAAATGACTTTAAATAGGTGCCAGCTTGACTAGATGCTGATTTGACTTTTTCTATTGGTGCTGATTTGACTTGTACCCATCTACATTTTGTCTATCATTGCCATTAAGAATACTATCCACAAGACACCAAAATGATGTAGATGTAAGCAGCTATCAGTAAGCATACACCTTCAACAACGAGGAAAAAACCATACTGCTATAATACGAAAAGTAATAAGCTGTAAAAGGTCCATCTTCGCTAGCCAAGGGTTACGATCCACTTCCCTCCTCTCCATCCTTGGCGGATTGAGATAGAATTTTGGAGACACAAGGTAATGATTTTCATTGGTTGCAGTCGAAACTTGCTGCATCCAATCAAAAAGGGCCTATAACATGATCATGTGTAAATGTAGAAAGTGTATGTAAACAATTGGCACGTGCTTGTTGTGCAACAAGTCTTTACATCCCTTAACATACCACTATATTTAGTGACAATTTGAATGTTTTTAATCAATCAATAGAAGTTCCTGTGTATGTTTCTCGCACAAATGCATGAATGTCAACATATATTTTCGTTTCCTGCTTTACCAAGCGTGTAGAATCTAGACGATACCGTGTTTTTAGCTCCAAATTGAAGAGTTCAAGTGCTACCTTTGGTCAAGAATAATGTATTCGGAATGGGCGTGACCTTAATCTACCGATAGATGGCACAACATTGTTATCACAAATGTTGGCTTAATCTGCCAAGGGTAGAGAGGAGTGAAGTGGATCGTAACCCTTGGCTAGAGAAGATGTAAAAGGCCTTGACAAGACAAAATGTAAAACAATTCAAAAGAGAAAATCAACGGCCTGATTTACATTGTATGTTCAAAACATTAAAAGTATAAGAAAGATGATACTTTGATAGACAGCTACCAACGTCAACTACTGTTTGCAGGCTCCTGACTTGAGACAGGTACATTTTGTACAAACAGTATGTAAAATTGTTATGGGGTTAAACAAGTTTGCAAGCTCTCAACCCTTCCTTTACCCTAGGACAGTGGTGGCACAACATAAGAACAAACTGTAAGAATCAGTTGAAAAAGGCATGACTCATCAGATCATTTCAATGCACAAAAATACTATAGACACAAAGTACTGTTGATGTGGAAGGTTTATATGGCTTTTCAATCTTTTGGTTGATGTTTATGTCCCACCATATAAGTTCCGTGTCTTTGTATGACTTTTGATGGTTTTCTATTACATGTATTATAATGAGGACTTAGTCCTTTAATTCAGGTTGTCATCTTACTGTGAGCAGTAGACTTCATTGGTCATAAAAAGAACAAGATGTATTACTAACTTTTTTGAACATTATCAATAATTTTTATATTTTTGCTATTTCAGGGTTTTAGCATCATGGGATTTGACAGAGGTGGTGGCAGGGGTGGAGGCCGAGGAGGAGGAAGAGGATTTGGTGGTGGACGTGGAGGTGGTGGATTTAGAGGAGGTAATTAGATTATAGGGGTTGATCACATGATCGTGACATACTTTGATATAACTTGTTCAAGTTGATCTGTTTTTAAGTTTAATACCATGAAATTTCATACATGTAGCAGTCAATCCTCATTTCTCAGGATAAACATCCCAATATTTTTTTTCTTCAGAATTTGAAAATTGTCTGATGATCAGTCTCGTGATTGGTGCTAGAAGGAGAGGTCAAATCTCCCACTTTGAAAAAATCACCTTTATTCTCCCTCGTTTCCTATTGTCTGACCATAAAATGTTGTTTGTCTTGTCAAATTATTTAAATCATTATCGTATAACTGTAAATTTAAATAATATGGAAGGCAAAAAATCTTAAACATGTTGAAGGTCAATTGTATGTTTATGTTGTTATGTCTGAGGCTACATGTACCGGTAATTATTTATAATCATTTAATGCTGTTTAATCTTGATTGGTATACATTATATATGAATAAAAGTAGAATTAATGTTAGACATGTTAGAAAAATTAAAGATTAATCAGTCAGTGTAAATCCTTACATCAAGAGATTTTTTAATTACTTCTGAAAGTTATGTGTTGTGCTGAATTTTGGAAAATAGGAGTTATTTACCTTTTTTTCAAATTTAAATTGAGTAATACAATCAAAAGATTTATCATTCTTTCATGAAGGATACATGTACATCAGAAATGAATAAATGAATGTATCTCATAATATCTGTTTAACAGTTTAGGAAATTGTTCATTAGCAAAGTTACAAATGTACAGTAAATGAAGATTTATCAAAATTTAATTTTCCAAATCATATATTTCTTGGCACAATGAAGCAAGTCTATATAAAAGCCAACTTTGAAAGCTTTTTTTTTTTTAAATTTATCATTATTAAATTCTTGATAATAACTTTTGTTTACAAAAATGTTAGATATATAACAATTAAAGAAAAAAGATATATAACAATTAAAGAAAAAAAAGTAGTCTGTTAATCAAACAGGACAAAATTGTCCCTAAACTAAATTGAGACTTTTTGTCTGTGATCTTTTGTTCTACATGTATATGCTGCTCAACCCTCATCCTAACCTGGGCAGTGGTTTAATGGCACAACATAAAAACTAACTGTAAAAATCAGATGGAAATTGAGCATGATTGCTTCAATGATTGTTTTTCTCACATTTTCTATTATTTCTATTTTAGGTAGAGGAGGAGGAAGAGGTGGTGGAGGAGGGAGGTTTCAACAGGACTATGGACCACCAGAATATGTCATTGGTAATTGATGTATTGGAATTTTGAATTTGTAGAAAACGAAATTATATCTATAAAAACTGAGTGCCTAATAGAAACACAACACCAACATGTATATTCCATTGAATAAATTTCAAGCCAGCGAAAGTTTTTTGGAAATTGACTTAATGATTTTGCAAATTTATTAGGACATACAAAAAGAAATTATCTGGCTATGTAATGATTTTGCAACTTTATTAATACATACAAAAGTAAATTTTCTGGCTATTTCAGAGGTTTCTAATTTTGATCTAAATGCTCACAAATCCATATTTTAGACTGAAAAAAATTTTAATTTGCACTTTGGTAGACAAAACTTGCTTGGTTCGAGTGTGATCACATTTGGAAGAAAATTAGATTCAATTTTGCCAACCATCATGACCATGAGACCAATTAACAGAATTTCAGAATTGAAAAAAGTCAATGTGAGATCAAACCATTATTTTGTATTTTCATTCTAAAAGGGATCCTAGGGTGCTTTGAATATGATGTATTGCATTTAAGCATTGTAGTACTCAACTTCAAAAGGGAGATTTCTTCCCAATCAGAAACTATTGAGGGGAGCATTTTCTGTAGAATATCTTCCATGATACTGTAAAAGAGTGGCAAAAGATACCAGAGGGACATTCAAACTCATAAGTCGAAAATTAACTGACGACGCTGTGGCAAATAAAGTAAACTGTGTATATGTGGAAATTTCACATGAGGATATTTTTAGTTGATTTTTTTGTTAAGTAAAATGTGCGAATATATTCCATCCTAAATAGTTTGTAGAAAGCTACTACATGTACTATATAGAAGTTAGTTGTAAACTTTATTGTTGGTGCCCCGATGGAATGTTTAGGCATTAAAACTGCCAAAATATTCACATTTACAGTAAAGGATAACAAAGATGAATCTCAAACAAAGATTTGCAAATAAAAAAATTGTTCATTGTAGTGATGACTTTTCCAAATATTAAGGTGCCCGATGGCCCAGTGGTCTGATTAGTTCCACTACTGTATTACTAGCCTGTCAACACTGCAGTTTTGAGTTTAAATCCTGCACGTGGAAGGTGAATTTGACTCCAATCTTATTTGACTAGGATTGTCAGATCCTACCAAAGGTTGGAGGTTCACTCTGGGTACTCCTGCTTACACTTATAAAAACAGACCACCAGGAAATAGCCACCTGTGCTGAATTTGGCGTTATAAACCAACCAATCAATCCAAATATTAATCAGGGGCAAATTGGCAATAAAGGTAAGAGGTTATAGTTTGCATTAAACTCCCCAATATGAAATAATGATAAAAAGAGGAAAACTGGACAGGTTTTGAAACATATTAATGCCAAAATGAATTAACATTTGTATATCTATTGATTTCAGAGATTGGCACTATGGAACACACATGTGAGGATGACCTTGTCTGCAGAAATACCAATGAGAAAGTACCATATTTCAATGCTCCAATTTATCTAGAAAACAAACAACAAATTGGCAAAGTAGATGAAATATTTGGGTCCATTACAGAATCTGTATCCTTTAGTAGTTTTTTTATGGGTCATTTTTGACTTTTTATTCACATTAACATTTTTGAAACAGTCTGGGGAATTACTGAAATAAGTGATTTTTAAATCACTCAATTAACTAGCAAATTAGAAATTCTGTGATTTTGTTGTTTTACCAAAATTTTAAACATAGAGGTTTAGATTATATCTAATTATTAGTAAACTGAAAACAATAAACCTTTTTCTTCTTTAAGTAGCAAGGTGTATGCCTTGATGCAATCATTCATCTGTAAATTATAAATTTGTTGAAAAAAATGCTATAATAAAGGCTTTCTATAATGATCTAATACTTTCTTGACAGACTTTTCCTAGCAGTGAGAGTAATTTTCCTATAAAATTCAAGGTTTTAGCTTTAGATTATGTATTAAAAATTTTCTGTTCATGACCAAAATTTAATTGTTTGTGGCTGTTCAAAATAGTGGGGAGTTACTAATAAAATGATACTTGAAGAAGTGATTTTTTTTAAGAAAATAGAGAGATGATACAAGTGATTTTCATCTTATTATCCCAGATTCAATACAGGGTCATCACCTGACATGACCAGTGATTCTATACACACAGATGTTGGTTCTGATAATTTTAGCATCACATTTAGTCCAGGACCATTACTATTATATTAGTCTAGTGATTTATTTGGACTACTTTTAAAATAGGTAATTATTAAAAGAAAGACTACTCTTGCAACATTTCTGGACAAAATGCTACTTGAATAAGTGATTTAAAAAATCACTTATTTAAGTATAAATTCCCTGACTGTTAAAATGTGTTTCTTTATAAATGTACACTGGAGTTATAGTAGTTAAAATTTTTGTACTACCTTTGTACATGTTGTAATGCTTTTATGTTGTTATTGAAAGCCATTTACACTTGAAAGTATATTATTTTACTACCAAGCATAGAGCTGACTTTGTCAACTTGAAACAATATTTTAAATGGTTAACTGTACTAAGTTTTTATAGACATCAGTATCTAAAAATAACATGCATGATATCAGCTGAGAGAAATAATTTCCTTAACTGTTTTAAGTATTTTTCAGTAAAATTATCAGATGATATGAAAGCAAAATCATTTGCCAAGTTATCTAAGGTAAGATTATTACTTGAGATTTTTGTTAAAGACTACTGTGAATAAAACTTTGTGATGATTCTTCATTATGATTAGGGGTGATTCACTTTGAAATATATCTGTATATTCCATTGGTAATATATTACAGGATCATAAACCAGTCCTGTCACCAGCAATCACTGTGTTTCACAATGAATGACTTGTAATCGTTAACAAGAGTGATTTTAAATAAACCCTGTTGATGTGTCACCGTGCCATATCTACAGAAAATCACACAAAATGTTTTTTTTTTTCTTTTAACAAATATACCTATACGGATTGCCAATTATTACATATCATATTTAATATTTTAAAAAATTCATATAAGTATTAAGATGATGTTGAATGTAAGTGATACCTAAAATTGAATATAGTATTTTTCTTAATATCGGATCTCATTTTACACACACATCAGAAAGTTAGGGATGGTTGGGATCAACAAAAAGTCCTCTACATGAGTTGATGAAGTTATGGGTAATGTCTCCAGACCTTGGATTTTAGCAGAAAGAGGGAGTCAAATATTTGAAGATGAAATCTGTCATGTGTCTTAAAATCATTCTATAATTTATTTGCTTAATTTTGCACACAAGAAAAACTTGACAGATGCATAAAAACAAGTTATGACTTTTTAAATCTACACATTGAAACAGCTGCTACATCTGGACTCATGTATCTATGAAATAGTATATTATTATTTTTTTTGTTAGATCAAAATGTAACACATGTATGCTGTTAAAATTGAATAATTGGCAAACTACATGTAAAATCCCTCCATTTTATGTTATAATATTTATTCATTTTTTAACAAATTCACTTATTCCAAGCAATTTATTTATATTTTATTCTGTTTGCAGTTCTTTATAGATCCAGCCAAACTATTACCATTACAAAGATTTTTACCTAAACCTCCAGGCTCAGCTGGGAAAACAAGAGGTGGTGGTGGTAGAGGAGGTAAGAGTTGTCTCCCATATATTTTGATGTTTCTGTGAAAATGATGCCATGTATGGTTTATGAAGTAAGAAATAAAATGGCTCTATGTTTTAAGATGATTTAAAAGTTAATAATTATATAAAGACCATGTAGTTTTTATTAAGAGATATTATAAAATGTATGTCATATATGAAGCAGATGCAAAATTAATTTAATGAATTTAACATGCCAATTCATTAATTATTTCATTTCCACTAATCTACTCGACAATTTCAGTATCTATAGAATAACTTTTATTGTTCATACATCTAGATGAGAAAATTTCACACCATCAGCCAACAACTCGTTAACATTATCAACCAATCAAAGATTAGTTAACAATTTTGACAGTATTATACTGAATGATTCTACAGTAGTGAATTGGTAGTTGACTATTTATAACAGGAATAGAAAATCAGAAAATTTCATTTTACACAATTTCAGTCATACCGAGTTGGAATATTATTTACCTCTAAATATTCTTCACCGTATAAATGTTTTTTTTCCATTTCTCTTACTAAAATGTCCCATATTAAGCCCCCCCTAAATATATGCTTGTTTCCTGCCTCCTGGAATAAGAACATAGAGTAGGTATGTAAAATGATTTTATTTTTATTAAATATTTTATATATACTACACGTATATCATGTATATATATATAGAGAAAGGTTCTTAAAAAAAAAGTAAAGACTTAAATTGTGCTGAACTAAAGAAGTCCATAAAATGTGTCAGAGTAGGTGAGAAGGCAGGAAATAGAACTATATTTGTTTTGGCCTAAGCTGAAATCTTTAAAATGTTACATCATACCTGAAATTTAACAAAAGATGAATATGTTTTATATACATATGTAAATGAATGGCTATTAAAATAAGGAGATGTGGTGTGATTGCCAATGAGACAACTATCCACCAAAGTTCAAATGAAGTGGATGTAAGCAATTATAGGCAACTATACGGCCTTCAACAATGAGAAAAACTCATACCGTATGGTAGGCTATAAAAGGCCCCGACATGAAAAATATGAAATCATTCATTTGAGAAAACTAACAGCCTAATTTATAACAAAACAATTTATAAAAAACAAATATGACAGACATATTGTGACTTGGATGGAGAGTTGTCTCATTGGCACTCATACCACATCTACTTATTTCTATGAACCCAACGACAACCACTGAACTACATGCTCCTGACTTGGGACAAGCACATAAGGAATGTGGCAGGGTTAAACTAGTTTGTGAGTGTCAACCCTAGTTTGTATTATTAAACATGTACATAGACGTTCTTTTTCAAATAAAAATCCTTTGATTTTATCAAAATATTCAAGAAATGTACCACTATTTATACCACCGCTTTAAAAAGAGTGGGGGTATACTGTTTTACCTCTGTCCGTCCCTCCGTCAGTCAGTCCGTCCCATGAATATTTTTTGTCGCATCTTTCTCAGGAACTACATCATAAGGATTTCTGAAATTTGGTTTTAGGGTTTATATAAATTAGCTATACCGTGTGATGCGTTTTCAGATTCATCACTCAACAACAAATGCATATTTTGGCGGGGGTATCATCAGTGAGCAGTAGCTCGCAGTTTCACTATTTTTTATTTAATTTGCTGACAGATTTTCTATATGGAATGCCCTACATGACAATCATGTTAGAAATTTGGCATTTGCACTATGCAAGTGGGAAGGGAAAAAATTGGATGGTAGGAAGAGTAAACAAATGTGGAAGGATGATAGTATTAACTTGTTCTGGATGAAAAAATTCAATTCACCAAATCCTTAAAAACTGTTATGACAAAGGTTAATTAACAAATGGGAATGCGTAGAAAAGAAAGAAAACAAAACCCATTACTTATTATACAGGTGCTCACCTAATTGTTTGATCTGGAAACTTGGGCATCAAAACCTGAATGTTAATTAGCAGCCAAAGTTTTCCATCAGCAGTCATAAAATTCAATACTTTATGTAGATAATATGTATGGATTCATAATAAATGAAAAACATACACAGAGGACTTGGTTTTTGTCGAGTCTGCGACTTTTGTCGCAGAAAGCTCGACATAGGGATAGTGATCCGGCGGCGGCGGCGGCGGCGTTAGCTCACTTCTTCAAAGCTTTATATTTTAGAAGCTAGAAGACCTGGATGCTTCATACTTTGTATATAGATGCCTTATGTTACGAAGTTTCCGTCTGTCAAATGTCCATTGGCCTTGACCTCATTTTCATGGTTCAGTGACTACTTGAAAAAAAAGTCAACATATTTTGTAATGTCAATTTCTTTCTTATTATGAGTTATAGGATAACTATATTTAGTATGTGCGTACCTTGCAAGGTCCTCATGCCCGTCAGACAATTTTCATTTGACCTCAACCTCATTTCATGGATCAGTGAACAAGGTTAAGTTTTGGTGGTCAAGTCCATATATCAGATACTATAAGCAGTAGGTCTACTATATTTGGTATATGGAATGATTGTAAGGTGTACATGTCCAACTGGTAGGTGTCATCTGACCTTGACCTCATTTTCATGGTTTAGTGGTCAAAGTTAAGTTTTTGAGTTTTGGTCTTTTTTTCTAATACTATATGCAAAAGGTCAACTATAAATGGTGTATGGAAATATTTTATGATGTACATGTCAGTCTCACAGGTTTTATTTGACCTTGACCTCATTTTCACAGTTCATTTCTCAGTGTTAAGTTTTTGTGTTTTGGTCTGTTTTTCTTCAACTATAAGCAATAGATCAACTATATTTGATGTATGGAAGGATTGTAAGGTGTATATGTCTGTCTGGCAGGTATCATCTGACCTTGACCTCATTTTCATGGTTCATTGGTCAATGTTAAGTTTTCATGGTTAAGTTTGTTTCTTAGATACTATAAGCAATAGGTCAACTATATTTAATGCCTAAATTGATTGTAAGGTGTACATGTCTGTCTGGCATGGTTCATCTGACCTTGACCTCATTTTCATAGTTCATTGGTCAATGTTAAGTTTTCTTGTTTAAGACTGTTTCTTAGAAACAATGAGCAATAGGTGAACTATGTTTGGTTTATTGAATGATTGTAAGGTGTACATGTATTTCTCGTTTGGTTTATCTGACCTTGACCTCATTTTCTTGGATCATGTTAAGTTTATGTGTTACTTGTAGTAAAGCTTTGTATTTAGGACTATCAACATAAAATCAATGGTTAGTAAAGAAGGCGAGACATTTCAGCATGTGCACTCTTGTATTCTATATACAAACATTTGTTCAATAATTTCCTTAACATAAATTGCAAAAAACTGGTTTCATATGGCTTTATCATTCATATGGCTTTATCATTCATATGTCTTTAGTACATTATATTCAGTGATATAGGAATTCCATTTCTTCATTCAGAAAATAATTACAATTGACTTATGTCACCATGAACATTTTTATAGTTGTCCATATGATTTTATAATTTCTGAAAACTGAACTGAAATAATGATATTTAATCATGATTTCCTATACAGGTGGCAGAGGTGGTGGGGGATTCAGAGGAGGAAGAGGAGGTGGACGTGGTGGTGGTGGTGGATTCCGTGGTGGTGGCGGATTCCGTGGAGGAAGAGGAGGAGGTGGTGGTGGATTTAGAGGACGAGGAGGTGGAGGAGGTTTTAGAGGTGGTCGAGGACGATAAAACAGAATTAAATCTTAGAAGAACTGTATTAATTAAACCTGTGCAATTATTTTGTACAAACAAGACATATTTTTTATGAATGAGTCTACTCAGATTTTGTGAATTACAAAGAAGATTAAACATTTTATGAAGGAGTGAAGAACAACAGCTTGTATTTGGGCATGAATTATGATACCATTGACTGAGGAGTGGAAATTTTATAATTTCTAGCTCCAGTCTAGTGTAGGCAATTTTTCTAAAAAGATTGTTTTATTATATTAATTTGTCTCAGTCAATTTTATAAAACAGAATGAACTACATATCCATTGGAGTTTCCACTCTGTAAACTTGTCTGAATGATCTGAAAATATCGCTAGAAGATAAATTGAAACGTTGTTTGTTTACCACTTAGCATTTTTCCTTGTGTACTGAAAAAGGGATCTTGGAAGATATTTTATATTCATCCTGATTTAATGTTTTTACTTCATCACTCAAGTACTATTTATGGTTTTGAGACTTTATTTTGAGCGAGTCATTTTTTATCATTCATATATATTGTTAAAATTAGTAATCATGATCACTGAATTCTGTATTTTTGTTTGTTTAATTGTCTGTTGGTTAGTGACATGTACCATTAAGCTCCTTGCACTCATATGATCAATCTGCATGTAGGTAGTTTAAAAGAGAAAAGGTCATTTCGATGATGTGGTCTTTCCAATGGGCTTTAATTATTTGTCCTGAATTTTTTAATTGTAGAAGATGACCATCTATCAACATTTTAGCAGCTAAAAAATATTTGAATTCATTTATCATATTATTACTAATGTACACACATTGTAATAAAAGTGTACAATATTAGATATTCGTGCTCTCTTATTTATATCCACCTCTGAGGTCTCTTGTAGATAGCTGGCTTAAGGAAATTGATTAAATCCCATGACCTCAACGAAAGACTTGAGTAATATGAGCTACGTCGGATAGAAATTGACCATATATGCAAGTGCATGTATACATGTACATGTATAAAACTTTGATTTATTTTTAAACTTTAAAGATGAATTTTTGCCTGTTTTGTAGGGTTCTTATATCAACTCAATTTTCAAACAGTTACAGACTTTGCATAGAGATTTTTATGCCCTCCGCCTTCACTGGAGTTGGCATTAAGTGTTACCCTTGTCCTTCATTCTGTCTGTCTGTACGTACTTCCCAAAATTGGTTTCCATTCTCTAACTTTAGTTTGCCTAAACCAAATGTTATGAAACTTATACACAATGCTTAATGCCACAAAACACAGATCAAGTTAGAATTTGGGTGGTGTCACTTTAACCGTTCTTGAGTTATGCCCCTTAATAATGTTATATGCAACCAGTGGCATCATCTGTGTCCAATGGACACATTCTCCATTTATTTCAACCCGAAATAAGTAAACAGATGTATTTATATTTATTTGCCTACGGTTGATTACTATCCGTCGCAGCTCATATATAAAAAGGATTACATAAACTACAAAAAATATTGTACAACAGATCTAACCAACACTCGTTTCCTCTGAAAAATATAGGTGTACAAACAAAGACAAAGCATTAATGAACAACACATGGTCCAGAAAGTCTGACATGGTAAAGGCTCAGAATGGGGTGGAGGTAAACCAGCTTTAGGTACTCCAAAACCTCCCCCCCCTTTATCTAAGCCATATGTTGTCAATGTAACACAAGGAATTAAAAAAACTGCACAGCATTTGAAAAGCCTTCTACAGATAGCTCTAGCTAAGATAGTTACAGATGCTATTTCAATGCTACCACTAAAGAAAGCACAAATTCAGAAAAAAACATTCTCAAAAAAAAACTCTTTGTACAATTTAATTGAAATCTTTAGTATTGGTGAGATATTTTTGAAGTCAGGATAATGTGCCTGTCAACTATCATGTAAAAAATCTAACTCAGTGTAGTAGTCTTGTACAAAGCAGGGTAAGGTGTCTCCAGTCTTGTTATGTCAAACATGCTTTGGAACTTGAGCAGATGAAAAGTCACTAAACACTATTGATTGTTATCTCGTGTTGCCACACAACAGAGGATATGATAGAAGTTTAAATTGCTCTTTTCACTATTGTGTAAAACCATTTCGACATCATGTTAAGATGAATACAAAACTTATTATATGCTTGTTCTGTTGAAAAATTTCATTTTTTGCCTGCAACAAATATCATAGGAAAGTGTAGGTATCATTTCTTGGTTGACATCCTTGTGGTCAATACCCAATAAAGTTTCAATGTATCAGGTTCGTCTCATAGAGTACTCATAAAAATCCATAAAGTCTATTCATTTCAATAGCATGTAGTAGATCATGAATATGAGGCCCTGTTATGTCATTGATGCTTTAATGACTGACTTTTTCTTACTTTTGATCAGTGCTTATTTAGAATATTGAGAAAAGTTATTGATTCACAATATGCAGTTGAACTAACACCCATGCATATTTATGGCAAATAGTATATAAAGCTATGTATCTCAATTATAAATATCTTTCGACGAAGTTTAAGGAATAAGGATGCTGTGAATATATGAATAAAAGTCTCCTTTTTGCCTAAAAACGTGATATTACTGTTGCCCTCCACCAGAGAGTGTGTCATAAATAAAGTTGGAAAAGCTGTCTTCAAGGTCAAAGTAACAGTTTCAAATACTGACTGGAAGGATATAAAAAGTATTCTTCATATTAGTGTTGCCCACATTAAAACCACCCTCGCATACATAAACAAAAACAAGATAGAATGTACCAATTTACAAAAAATGAAAAGAACGATTCGAAAATTGGGGTCGATAGGAAATTTAACTTAACCAGTCTGTAAGGCCAAAATAAAGAATACTTGAGTTTTAGATTTCCCTATTAGCTACATTTTTTTGTAACTACTCTTTATGCCTTTTAAAAATGTCTTCCCTGGAGTTTTGGTAGACACTTTTGGAAGTGAATTCTGAAAAATGCAGGTCTTCCAAATTACTCAAGAAAAGCCTTTCAATATCATATATTGACTCAAGTTTAAGAAAACCCCAAAAATAAGAAAAGAATTCATATCCACCTATTGTATCAAGGAGGAAACTCTATAGGCACAGGTACTCGGATGGTGCAACTAATATGAGATCGTGTTTATTTCGAGAGAAATTCTGTCTGTCCTGCATAAACTATGAGATTGTTTCTGAATATTATTTTATTGACTGAAAATTGGAACTGGGTATTCAAACATGGCAACGAGTTCTCGAGAGGAACCATTTACAAAATTCCACCTTCCATGAGCTTTATAATGCGCGTAAAATGTTTTATAAATGTCACATTTCACTTCTTCTAAACGTTTTATTAAAACTTCGACCAGCTCATAGCACTTATCAAAGTTATATTGTAAAGGGTTCTCTTCATCAACTTTCTGCTGAAATTCCTTAAATCCTGTTAACACTTGAACATGCATAAGAAAGTTCATTGCTGTTATGTCATGCTGTTGAAGAAATTCTAATTTAAAGAGTAAATTATTCTCTTTCAAAAATATGTTAGGCATAAAGGGTTTTGGACGGTCCTTTGGCACGAGACAATCAAGAATGAAATCGACGATTGTGTCCATACATTCCTTTTTAGTCTTACAGTCATGACAACGAGCTGCATGTTGTACGACGGCCATCTTGATAATAAATGAACTTAATGGAAAATAAATCAAATTGGAAACCGACAAATGTTTACATAAATAACTGATGAAATGTTTCAGTATTTTATAACAGCTCACGTGTTGTTCAGATAGAGATTTCACCAATTTTACTTCAACTTCGGTGCATGTAATGCGATAGTCCGAGATTACTCTGACGTCCAACGGCTGTTTTGCCAGACAAGCTGGGGCCGTGGGACGTCAGAGCTCGTCCCATATCAAAAAGTGGATATTTGCCCGTCCAAAATAGATGCGCTGCTTCGTCGCTTCTGGTGCCAACGGACGGCCTTGGAATTATATAAATCGGGTATCAATTTGTTCATTTTTCATTTATCTCTTCATTTATGTAAGTTTCACCTACCTGCCACCCTTTACTTTCTCATATTTAGACAGTTTTCACAGTGACCCACTGATTCTGGCATTTTGACTTTCATTTTGAAAGATTGTCATGTGATCACGAGAAAAAAGTAAGGCACCATGGACTATGGGAAATGATGTATGCAATATGACCCTAGGTCAATATGAATATATAATCTAACACCTCGCTCATTTACGATGCAAGCAATGTAAATATCCGAGAGCTTCTGAATGTTATCGTGGTTGGCACTAAATGCTTAATACCGATCTCCTGTAAAGGAGGTGAAAAATCGTGGTTGGCTACTAAATGTTAAATATCGATCTCCTATAAAGGAGGTGAAAAAAGTATAAATATTTGCATATTTGAGTCTCGAGGTCGCAAAATCTCTCGTAACTTGACGTCCATTTGAAAATAAAAGTAAAAATGTCTGAATCGATGGGTCACTGTGAAAACTGTCTAAATATGAGAAAGTAAAGGGTGGCAGGTAGGTGAAACTTACATAAATGAAGAGATAAATGAAAAATGAACAAATTGATACCCGATTTATATAATTCCAAGGCCGTCCGTTGGCACCAGAAGCGACGAAGCAGCGCATCTATTTTGGACGGGCAATTATCCACTTTTTGATATGGGACGAGCTCTGACGTCCCACGGCCCCAGCTTGTCTGGCAAAACAGCCGTTGGACGTCAGAGTAATCTCGGACTAGTAATGCGAAAGCACTTGTCCAAGCATTTGTTTACAGTTTTATGAAGTAATCCAGGAACCAAAAGAACACTGGTTAAATTTTGAAACTCCTCTGATGTCGCAAAAACAGGTGACAATGATACATCCTGCATTCCAAAATATCGAATAGCTGGCGACACATCAACACATATGTCAAGTTTCTGTCCTGCTTTTACAGGGATCCAGTACATATGAAGAACTGTATTTGGACCTCCGTCTCTAACTGAAAATCCTCCAAAATAGAGATGCCCTAAACTTCTATCAACCTTAAACTTTTTGTATTTCATATATATTTCACCAACTGCTCTAGAAAGTTCAGCGAAAATCTTATTTGCAAGCAGTTGACCGTCATCCATAAAATCTCCCCACTTCTTCAACAAGGATTTGTCGTCAATAAAAATATGTGTATGCCCAGGATTATGTGAACACACCTTTCTACATTTGACCATATCTGGATTAGAAAAATCTGTTAAAATGCATAAATAGTCAAATTCATTGGGTTCTATCAACTTCGTTCCTTCTGCAATGCTGCCTAATTTTATAATTTCAGAAAACGTAAATCTGTTGTCATGTTCTGATACTTTTGCCAATACTCTATTTACTATTTCATTGACGGAACTATAAATTTCTTGAACTTCCGTTTCACGGAAATTGAAATTTAATTTCTTTTCTTCAAAATCCCTAAAGAATAATTCAGTGGTGGACATGGTGGATGTTTCAGCGGCTGATGTTCTTCTGTAAATGACCTCTGGCTCATAGTTCACACATTCCATATCGACAAACTGGTAAACAAATATAAAGTTATGAGTGGTAATAGTTTTAAAAGTCTAATTATAAAACCTTTGAATAAAACACGGAAGAAAGTTTAAAAGGTTTTCCATCTATTTATAACTGTGTAGTGTGATAACCATTTGAAGTGGCCTTGAAAAGCAGACGTACATTTTGACCATATGCGCCAAATTTTCCAGCCGTGTATTTATTTATTTATTTCTGTTGTTTATTCCCCTGTTATCATGGTTATCGAGTACAACATCACTTAATAAATTCAGTTTGAAGATACTACAATCTGAGACTACTATAACACAGTTATAGT